GACAATGCGACGTTGAGAAGATCTGAACGTTTAAGGTTCCAACCTATTAGAGACTATAAACACCCGCACGCTCATTCAACGTGTGGTGGGTGTGGTGAACATTGACTCTATTCTACTTATTCTGTTTAGTGTATTTTTATATGCCTTTGTTTTGCGATGCGATATATAGTACGCCCGCGATATACGGAAATACACGATATTCATTCGTCCATATTTGGACTTCTATACTATGAGTACATTCGGTAGTTAAGAGACCTACCACTATTCTAATTATCACACTATCGTCTTTGGCTTGGCTTAAGCTGTCCATATATACGGGCATTTCCGTCAGACAGGAACTGTTGGGAAACATGCGTGCTGAACTTTACTGTTTTTTATGATGACCTGCCTCAAAATGCGTTCCATCAGCTTGCACGGCATTCCAGTGTGTCACATAAACCTGCAGCTGCCGGGTGACCACCATTTTTGTTCATTGGCGAGACGATTGCATCGTTCCAAGCTGAGGGAATAATACTTTCTTTGGGCGACTGACGAAATTAGGCTACAGGTAGAAATGCTCCGCCAATTTGAGCACAGTTTCCTTCAGGATCCTTGGATGAATACTAATAAAAATAATAATGTCTATTCCCAACTTGTGGGTGGCATGCCGTCTGGTATGATCATGCGTTTACATGGGCGAAATCGGAAATTGGAATGGACCAAGGAAGAACATGAGGCTCTCAAACCCATTAAAGCGCTGATGCTGGTCCATCAACTGCCGCTCAAACTGCCCAGGTTCCGATAGATGTTTTCTGTTGCAGCGGGTGCCAGTGGCCATGGCATCGTCGTAGTCCTGAGGTGGCGAAATGAAGTTGCTGAATACACCAGTCGCATCCTGACGAACGCTAAACAGAAGTACTTGATGATTAAAAAAGAATGTTTGGCAATCGTCTTGGCGCCGGATAAGTGGACGTCACACCTGCTTGGACAGGTATTCCATGTCAAATCCGATCACAAACACCCGAAATGGTTCGGGACCCCAGAGGTCTTCGCTGCAAGCTCGTGCACTGGACATTTTGTTTTGTTGGATGGAAAACTTATTGAGAATGGAGAGGGAGACAGGGAATCGGAGACTCCACAGAGTCACTTCGATAGGCTGAATCTGAATGAAGGTGGCATAATTTCCTAAAACGCCACCGATTCTGATAATGTGCTGCCCGTGATACCGTGCACCTTGCGACGGAAGCATATCATCAGATGCCGTGAAATGGTAAACACAGGGTACGCCAAGACGTACGACCTACTTCGGCAGAGGGCCTACTGGCCCGGGAGGAGAAGTGAGGTGATGGATCGTGTGTTGTCTTGTAAGCGGTGCCAACCGATGAAAAGGGACCCGACAAAAGGAACCCGTCCCATGGAACTTATTTCTGTCTCAGGAATCGGCGAGTTGTGGTCTATTGACTTCATGGTCCCCTTTCCGTTGACGACCAGCAGAAATCAATATATCGTGATGACGTAACACCTGTTGCGTTGATTCGATGCGGCCGGCGTGTCAAATTAATGGGCGCCGGCCATCAACGGAGTGGTGATGCGTCGCATCTTGGGGGGGGGCCGAGAATGACCCTAACCGACCAGGCTCTTGCTTTGACGGCGAAGTGTTCACGAATTGCTTGGAGATGCCTAGCATCAGACGGCTAAGGACGGCATAATGCAACACACAAACGAATGACCCAACCGAACGTAATAATCAGTCGATCCAGCAGGTGACTTGGAGCGAACCTCGCGATGGCTTTGCTGGCGCATCGCGCCTTAATGCAACCAACCACAGGCACTTCATAGTTTATGCCGAAGAACGGTGGTCGTCAGCAAATTATGTTGCGGCCAACATAACTCTTGTTTACGGAGGAGCCAGGAGAGAAAAGGAAAGGACTGAAGAGAAAACGGCAGGTAGAAAGGTACGAACATACTACATAGGCGCGCAGGTCAAGTGGAAGGATCCTCAGAATCCTTAAGGGAGTGGACTGGAGTGGCGGAAGTTGGGCAGTCTATGGCAAGGTCGTTTGTCGTTACCGACCACCGGGGGAACGTCCATACAGTTCATGACGGTCGGCGATGGAAATGAGTAAATGGTACTCGGCTGCAGAAAGGGTATGGTACATCTGAAGAGATGCCGAATGGACCAGCTATCAAGGCCCGTCCAACGAATGCAAATGGAAGTCGATGGCATGCATGCAACGGTGGATGCTATTGATGAGTCTTGTGAGAACTATGTAGTTTCTCGTAAGTCTACCCAAATCCAATGGCAGGTGGGATTGATTACTGATTTAGGGGAATTCCTTTGTAGCGTTCGTTTGCGTTCGCTTGATACTCAACGAATATCTAGGAAGGTTCATGAAGACGCGTTCAAGAAAAAGAAGGAATTTTAGATTTTAAAAACTCGTTGCACAAGAGTTTTGCTTTACTGTCCAATGTTCTGTAACATTTCAGCTGGTTTTTAATAAACAACTCTACAGCAAAAGGCTTCTTTCTTTCACATGTGGTTGGAGTCCGCTTCCGCTCTTCTCTTTTTGCGCCGCCATCCTGTATCTCTATTTATTTGCTCTTAGTTTGTGATCTAATCTGGGACTTATCAGGGCTACACGTTTGGAGCAGTCTCCGACCCAGAGGAACTGTATCAGTGATCGCTCACATTCCTTATCCTTAAACACTAGCTTAACTTCCGAGGGACGGATCTAAACATTATTTCCGAAGTGCCGCTCTGTATCCAAAAGTGTCTGTCGCTCGCCATCCTAATTCTTTTATTCTCATATCCACTGCCCTCGTTTTATATTTGGAGTCTTGAGCTTCCGTGCCCAGACGACCTATGTTTTATTCCTTTAAGCTGAGTTAGTCACTCTGTTTGCTAGTTAAGCATTAACGAACATAAACCGAGGCTTAGTCATGGAGCTTCGCTCTAGGAAGCTACGCTTCATCTCCTAATCACATGTTTTACAAGCACATGAAAACAATCGCTTTATTACGCGGAATGGATAAAAGCCTGTTTGGCCCTGTGAGTTATTCCACCACCCATGTTCAACGCATTTGATGCGCTTTTGCTGAATATAGCGGTTAATATAAAGCTGAAGCCTCTTTTGACCATAACGCGCTTCCTTTTACAGTGCATATTTTGCTCTAACTGCTACAGTAGAAATTGTCATTTATTTTACATCTTCCACAGCCTGCCTGGCACAGCAGCTGTTTGCTTGCTCTGAATGACGGAGCTGCTCTAATGGCTTGGCTTTACCTCGCGCAGACAAAATCTCTGATTTCTGGAGCTCTCTGGTATTGTGCCAGCCGCAAATAAGACTACCTGGTGGCTCGCCACCTTGCAAATCTGTTTATGCATACTGGGAGTGAAAGCACCATTTGGTGGTGAGGTGCACCATGCAAGAGTATTAATCAGTTTGGCTGTACTAGAGTGCGTCCGTATGCCGGCTCTTTCATCGCCGTTGGTCCTACAATTTGCCTTTCACTTGCCCGTGCGTAGCTGTTGGTCTGGACCTGTGTTGGATGCCATTTATCTGGTAAAGCTATGAAGTGCAGCCGAATGAAAATGCACTTATATTCCGTGAAAAATGCATGCGACTCTATTGGTTTATGCCGGCCTTTGAAGATCCCATCCTGTTTTCCCATCCTGTCTTAATTAGGGCTGCCCCTCATCAATTATACTTCGTCAGTCACACATAACACACGCTAATTATTCTGCTACATGGAGTGGTTGCCTAAATAAAATATAAGGACCTTTATTATTCCACAATAATAGCATTCACAGATAGCGTACGCTGACACGGCCGTGCGTTACTCGTTGCCTAGGGCTGAAAACAGCTACCCAGCAAATGATGGCTCATGCTCAGCTCATCCCGGAAATACGGTGCTGTTCAGTCGACGAAGAAACCTCCAGTCAAAATGGAGTTCCTTTTCACTATCTTGAAAGTCCTGTCCCATTATTACTTACCACTCTCCTGACCCCAATCACACCAACCGCCCCCTGCACAATAGAGCCGCACGGATGGCACCCTTTTTACAGAGTTGAAAATTGCCTCTGACCCTATAATATCAAATAGCCCAGCTGCTCTTTGCCACATCTGCTAAATCCTCACCCTGTCCAAACCAGACAACTGTTCCATCGCTCAGGCTATGCCTGCTGGTCGACTGACACTAAGTGCAGAACACGACGCACATGTTTCACTAGCAATGCTTGCATATCGCATCGCAACCAGTGGTAGTCCGCACTCTTCTTCAATTGCTCTGTTGCGCTGGCCGCCGTTAACCCAGTAGGTACTCCTGTTTTTGAGTCCAGTGGACCTCAACTTCCTTTTCGTGTGTGGATCCACAAAATTCATTGTTTAAGTTAGCATACAAAAAGAACATTTTCAAAAATTGTATCAGTTATCACACAAGCAATTGCATTGCATAGCGCCTATCAGTTTGTTTGGTTTGGACTGAGCTCAAATTCTTCCTTTCTGCTTTCTACCCACAGGAATTGCCGTGAACCCCTGCATTCGGTGAAACAATATACTACAAGCAACATGCTACAACGTCTATCAAAAGCCAGTAGTAGTTCGTTGGGGCAAAGGCTAATTACGAAAAGTATGTCGTGCCACAGACAACAGACATTTTGTGAATTCCGATCGTCGTAGCGGTCAACGTATAATCGGACTCTGACACCTGACGACGATGTACATATGGCAACGAAGAACGCGTGCTTCAGCAGATAGTACTTCCATTCTCTGACAATATAGGGCCTAAAGACTAAGTATATGCATTTTAAAGTTCACAGATAGAGAAAGCGACACGGGTGCACATTCAGTAGGCATAGTTATTGACATGTATGTTGGTGCTGATGTGAGTCAACGTACGTACAGCTGAGCTGTTCGCGAACATGAAAGCCAACTGACGGAATGTGAAGCGAAAGATGAATGCTACAATATGTGCCTGCAGTTACACGTCAGCTCAAGATGTAGGTCTCTAAAAATACACGAAGTCTTAAAAATGAGTTTTCCGGACATATGATGGTTATATAACCGTCTAATGGCCATCTATTATGTTTAATAGGTGGTTAATGTGTAGCTAATGGGTGGCTATCAAAACCGCCATATGAGCGTGTTTTCTGGTTATTGGATGGTTAACTAACCGTCATGGGACGGCTAACAACAGCAACATAACCGCAACGTTGCTACCTATACTAGCAACTACACAATTAGGCTTGCAAATCGTCGGGCCTGTTGCAGGAATTGAGGTCTGGTAACGAAGTTTTTACACGTTGCTGCACATCAACCTTCTGGCCGCTTATGGAGATGGTTCAATAACCTGGGTGATCAGGTATTATCATTGACCGAGTTTGCAGAACTCCTAAAGAACCGAAAGCAAGGATGCAACAAAAATATATTAAGGTTAAGAGAATAATCTTTCATACAGTCAACCTGCTTCTGTCCGATGTAGTCGGGTGTGAAGTCAGTGTGAAAATATCGACCGCTTGGTTCAATGTGGACGTCTGAAACAGTGATAAAACATGCGCATAAGTGTCCCATAAATCAAGTCGGTTAATAGAGATTAATGTGTTTAAGTGCAAAAACGAAACTCACTGCCTGAAGAACTGAGAATTGCAACCTGCCACAGCCCTTGTCCAAGGAACTTCATCAGACTATAGGCCTAGAAACAGCGACAGTTAACGGCTGTATATTGCACAGTGGTTACTCTGGGCGACAGATAGAATTACAAGAAGGACATTACCCATAGAGGATAGTAACAGAAAAATTACAAACAGTTTATTATGTTGAAGCATTGTGCACTAGTATTGCACAAGTGGGAGGTGATGGCTGTTTACAACTGTTGACAATTTATTAACCATAAAAATGTTCAGCACAAGGGATATAACGGAATGAGATGTACAACGATACAACGGAGGAGCAAAACGGGACATACATTATTGTGTAGACGATTGTGTCTGGATACTCCACCCCTGTTACAGTGCACGGAAAACCATCATCCAATGATGTTATTCGCTGGACTGCGAGAGATGGCAACTTTATCAAAGTGGAAGAAACGCCTTTTGTTTGAAACACCTGTTTCACACGACGTCACTCTAACCGGAGAAATAAAACTCATGTATTTAAATTTCATTTTATCCACTTATTCGTGGAAAATGCCGTACCTGTATGTACGCAGATGTAACTTTCGTTTTGATAAGCCTTTATAGGCTCGGCAAATGATAAGAATAGTACAGATTTACTTACAGGGTGTTAATAAAAGCAATGCAACCTTATCAGGCCTCTACACGAAGAGCATACATTCACAGCATGAACAGAAGCAAGGCGAACAGGGTGAAACGGGGACATCTACATTCCTAACAGCTACAGATCTCTTGGCCAATCATGAAACAGAAATAACGTGCGGCAGACTGTGTGTTTGTGAATTGGGTTTAGTCACAAGCAATTTCAGGGGCCTTGTGAATAGGCTGGATGCATTACACGTATGACTATTTGGTTTCAAGATATTTGTGGTTGCTGGTACTGTGACACGGTCGAGTACGGAACTGCAAGACGCGAGTTGCAACACAGAGCCATACACTACACGGGTGTGGCGACACCTGCAAGGGATATGAAGGGGTTGATACTTTCGTTACCAAAAGGCTCGAACTGCGGACCAACGAAGATGTCGGAAGAATGTACCAGACTATTGTCACTAACGTTACTAGTGGTGATTACTGCCAATGAAGCAATGCACATAAGTCCGGACAATACGAATCCAAAGTGGATGCACGTTCTCAACCAGTGCATAGGCTATTGTAACAGGTTTCGTTGCTTATTATCGCATCCTGTTTTCGGAGTGGGCAGCAAAACATTAACTAAAACAGGGCTGTGAGCTAATTGAAAATTGCTCTGGACAGCGTCCAGCGGCACCAGATGTTTTGATTGCGAAACGCGTACCGAGCAGCTGTGGTGATAGTGAAGGAACTGGTTTGTGGGAATGTTTTCAGAGCTAGCCTACGTGATGAACCATCGATCAAACGATCCATTCTGGGCATTCTAGAAGGCCAACTTCTGAACTATGATGAATAATAAAAACCGAATAAGCTATGACATTGAGACACGCAAGATTCATTGGGGGACAAGTTTTTGGGAATCCGGTGGAGGTAATCAAAATGTATACTGGAATGGCAAGTAACGGGGCTTTATTGATGCTTTAGGATTTTACACAAGCCTCTGGAGCAAAAGAAGCATGATTAGCATAACTGTGCATGAAAGAGTGCAAAACCTACTTGGCTACAGCAGAAATAAAGAGTTTGAGAACGTAGGCAGGTAGCTCAAGGCTAACAGGATGCCGGTTCACGAGGATAGACTTCCACCAAAGTCAAAAGAAGCGCTGAGGAGGGATAAACTGCAGTTCTGTTGCAGTAGTACGGTTATTTGGAAATCTTGAATTCTTTAAGCACTATGAATAAGCTAAGTACTCAGTGTTATGCTCCAGGGGCTACCACATTTGATCGCAACACCTACGGGCGCAAGTATATAACCGGTGGTTGGAAACAGAAGATAGTCCCAACAACTCGAGTTTGGGACAAATCATGATTCTTTCAAATGTTCATAACCAGGGAAATCCCAGCAGCCAAACATCCATTTTTCTTAAGCCAGTAGTGCCCAAGATACTGAAAGCAGCACTCAGGCGTGAGCTTGACGCACTAGTTTGCAAATATGAAATCTACAATCCTTTCCAAAAAGATTTCGCAATTATGGGTGTCTGCATTACAAACCTACAGAGGCCTCGGGACGTTCGTTATGAAGTTCTGGAGCAATACAAATGGTGTTTACTGACTTTAGCAGGACTTACGACTGAGTACAATACACTCAATTGTGGCGTATATTCTTCAGGAGAGGAATCCGCGGATTCCTGCACAGATGAATACATTCCTTTGTTTGACAACTAGTGTGCAAAGCTAGGGTCAACGATGCTTCCTTGAAACAGAGACAAAACATTATTATGGTTCCACATGGGACTGTTCTTGGAACCACTATCTGCAGTGTATGTGGATTCATCGCGATGCCTCCTCTGCTTATCCGTCCGCCATTTGCAGAAGGCGTAAAGTTTTGGATCAAGACAGACTTCACTGCAACTGCAGGCCATCTCAACAGGCTTAACATCTGATATCGGAAAGTTTAACTGTTCGAAGCTCTGACAATTCTGGCCCGCTAACAGTGCGCGCCAGTGAAAGACCACTCAAAAGCAACAGTATTCGGTGCTACGGATGACACCAAACCTACGATGCTCATGCAGGGTGACCTCAGAGCGCGCCCAGATATGACACTGACGTAAACAAGGTGACTTCGGCACTGTTAATTTTCAGAAAGACGTCCACGCATTGAGTCCTAAATGGATGAGGTTGGTTAACTCCACTTGTATCCGGCTAGCAATTAAATATGCACATCTCGCCCACTTTTTGTGAACGAAACACGAAAAATTCCAACAACAGTGAATATGCATGCTGGGCATGTGAGTAGTGTCCGAAAGACAGAGAATATCATTCGAGCAAAGGTGCCGAGATTAAGTCTTTATACGGCTATAGGACAACGATAGTACATCAGTTAGAATAATTACTGGAACATCACCTCGTCGAAATCACTATGATAGTGGCGTATGAGGAGGTTTTTCATGTGTATTGCCTCGGATGCTGAGAAGCATCGGAAAAGGATGACATTCAATCGTACTCTAAAAACCGTGATGAAAATTAAATGATTTGCGCTTTCGAAAGTTATAGGTGGTGTTTCACTTACTACATATGCAGGGGGAAAAGTTAAATTTTATTTCTCTTGATTTTAGAAGTCCACGCTTTCTCAATCACATGACTAGAATTTTTTTGCGCGAAAATTTGAATCTTTCAGTTATTTTGGCCTGAGGGATTTGCGCAATTAAGTTTTCGCATTTTACGGTTATACGCTCTAAGGATAAGTAAGCACACCTTCCGTCCACTTTATTTCGAGATTTTTCTCGTGATCACAAGTTGAGCATGTACCATTGGGAGCAAGTGCAAAAGCTATAGGTGCGTGACCCATTTGAAGGAGATAATCAGCTACATCCCACGGCTTCTATACTTTAGAATGATAACATTCTTGCTTCAGCATCTGGACGACGCGCTGCTTCCTGATAAGATCTAAGTAACTCAATAATTACAAGGGTTTGCGGGGAAGTAGTTTTTTCATCCGATCATTTACTTTTGTTTGCTGGCTGCTTGGCAAAAATCGCATGCTCCCTAAGCGAAGCTGCCACAATGACGTGGTGGTCGAGCTTGAGTGCTGCTATGAACTGGGAATTCGTTTCATAATGTGCAACCATGCCAGAGGGGTCAAAAGAGGAGAGTCAGACTAAAACTGGCAAGATGCACATCATGGAGGTAATCTTAATGTAACCCCCACTATCCTTCACAATAGGCGTGTGAAGGCAGTGAGGCGTTTCCCCCAGACGATGAACATGTTCCCATCCATGAAAGCAGAGATGATATAGTCCACACAAAAACCATGGGTTAGAAAGTGTCGGCCCTTCAACTCACAAATTCTGCCCGCCGTGCGGTTGACTGTGACTTCCAGCGCATTATTCAATACGGTCAAACTGTTTTAGCAACCGAAGACTTTTGCGTGAAAGGCTTAAGATTGCACGCCACAACCGGACCTCTCTCCGTGTCCTTGGCATGCGGGGTGTACCATTTGCTCTCACTCATATATGTCCACCGATATCTCTCTTCAACCCATTCACACCACACTAGCAAACGCTTTTAATAACTTGGTTGTCCGTTTTTTAACTGATCTACCTAATTAACCACGCTTACTATTGACAACACTCATTTCTACATAAGCGTTTTCAACGTCCGTACTCTACGTCAAACTGGCAAACGCGGCTATACCCGCCGAGAGTTTATGCTCCAGTAGAATTGATGTGTGTTGTGTTTCTGAACCTAGGGTGTTTATGCACCCCGCATTTAATTTTCTGTGCGTCCGGTGAGCTGCAGTGACTCGTAAAATATATGGCGCGGAAGTAACACTTATCCCCATAGCTAAACGCAGTTTGCTGGATCGGATTGCAGTGGAAGGTCGCTCAGCTTAGTCAAGCTGAATACTCCTCAACCTGAAACACGAGACCTGTTTGTAGTGCTAGAACATATTACAATGCATTGCAGCTCTGAACTGAGAAGAAAGCCGTTTTACCTCTGTCATAAACTTTGCACTAACCATCTAACGTTTATCCATAAAACTCAGCTCATTTACACTGTCTTTGCTTTGTTGAACACAATACAGCTCATATATTTTTTTAGATTTTCTGTCGACAAACATTGTGCACTCAGTGGCACTCCATGCCAACTCACTTCTGACAGAACGATTTGTCCAAATAAAACATCGTGTGCGATGCGACAAAATTGTCCACTTTGGAGGGAGCCAAGGTCGAGTCAGCCTACAAGCAACCCCCAAATGAGGTTTGGTGGCGAGTTTAGCGGCCCTTATTGCAGGTAAGTAACGTCTTCAGTCGGTCAACTTCAAACAGAATCAGCCCTAATAACAAAAATGGCGTTCAACTGCGGGCTTCTATGTGTTTTAAGCCAGCAAAATCCCAGACAAAAGTAACTTACAGGCAGACGAACCAAACAACCAGGTTCTCACGAGCTTCACCATCCAGTGCGTTTAGTCAGAAAATCGGAGTAAAAAAGCAGCCCATTTGGCCTTCCACAGTACACATGAACATGTTGGATACTGATGACAGTACCCGTATCATAACCCTTCAAATACGTCGACTTCGTGGTATAAGTACACAAATGAAGCGGTTCTCTCATTTCACATTTCTAATTGAAATTTTGGGTCGGTGTGTCTCATGTAGTGATCAGTTCTCCAATCTTCCCGGATTCCAGTTTGCACTTGAGGATTGTGAACCATGTAATGGCTCGGCGCGTCCAACCGTAAACTGCGTGTTTTATGATTTTGACGGGATCACACCCACCGTTCAAGCCGGATATATATACAGGTAAGAGTTCCTTAGACAGTTATTACTCCATGAAAAGTGGAATGAAGAGCTTGTATTTGACAAACTTGCCCCCTCCTCAAGGAACCGAGTAAAATTGACCACTCTGAGGAACAGTTGCTCCTGAGGGGACAGAGCTAAAAATTTGGAACTTCGAGGAACCTACTGTCAGTGTATTACTGTGAGAGCTTCGCTTATGATGGAAGATCCAAAAACCCATGGAGGTTTCTCAGATGCAAGCAGTAACCCATCAATGGATTTCTGGGGGAACAATTTATTTAATCTATAACGGCAGACGAGAGCATTTGACAACTAGAATTGAGAAACGGCAGGAATGAGTTGTAAAATGTGTCATCGACGGTGTCTTTTGAGATAGAACAAACGGTATGTAATGTACCACTCGTTACTTCTGCCGAGGTTGTGAAATTTGTCCGTATTTTAGTGGCTGAAACGGTCTTTAAAATGTGGGACGGAAGCGAAAGTTTCTTATATTCAACAGTTTTTGATACTTGACTTGTACATATTAATGCATGTAGCATTATGAAGCGGTCTTCTGGCTAGCCTTCAAATTATTTATCATGAGAAACTATCCTCGTATAACAACAGAATAGTGCGTGTCCATTTATCGTGTGATGTTGGTACGGTTCGCATCAGTCAGCTTTAAAAATCTGAAAATTAACAAGGGATCCAGACATATACTTATCCAGGGCCAAATTATCGCCTAAGACAAGTCAGCTGCATTCACCTGGTAGGCATAGTAACCGTATCTGTGACATAAACTACCGGAAGCCAATAGCACAGAAAGTTTCCATTATACTGTTTTTTCTTGAGAAAAGGGAGGGTAAGTTAACTATTTGCGAAACATTGAGTTTCTTGGGGTTTTGCTCAAGATGGATACTTTATTTGAAGGAGGATTGCAGTGTTGGAAATCCATGCGTTCTCAATTTGTTCTTCGCACTGAAAGGTGTGCGCTTTTTGAAAAGTACTGTGTTTTAACCGGTTAATCTGACCTTTCAGCATACATTTAATTTGCATCCAACCAAATAATTCTAAGTATACTTTTTACGTATACATTTTATTGCCATTGGGTAAACTGGCGGGTCCGAGTTACAACAAGTTGTCTGTTCTAATTTTGCGGATAACTTTCACCAAATGGCCCAATAAGGTTTTTTAACCGGCACCATACAAGTCCTAAAGTATCCTAATAAAAGTACAAAAGTGTTACGATGAGGAATACGTGCAACGCTTCGAGCTTCTTACAGATTTGATACTCGTTGAAGGACTCCCAATTAAACTTGTGTTATCTTTGGGTTTATGCTGGGCATATGCTGGGTAAACAAAAGTAGTAAGACTCACCGTCAACGTACCACTTTATAGAGCGCCTCCTGAAATAAGTACTTCTGATAACAACTTTACTTAGGCTACTCTAAATTTCATACACTCAAGAGATTTTTTATGCCTTCGGTCCAGTGCACTCTAGGATAAGGTTTTTCTTTGTTGACTTCTTTTCCGTGCCATTTTCGTATCCACTTTATTTATTTGGGCATTCTGTTAAGGCATCTAGGCACTCGGCTGACTGATGAGTTTCAAGGAAAAGGCTCGAAGCATTTGGTATTTCAGCCATGATGACTGGAATATGCTAAAGATGCGCCTACGTGAACAGCGTAGCTAGTTAAGGATTAGTACGCATGGATCAACCATATCCTAATGACTTAGCTCCTCAAAAAGCAAGTAGACAAGCCAGGAGGTATGGTTCCAACCAGAGAAGATAGCTTGATGTTCAGCTCTGTCTACTGCATTTTCACCAGTCATTTTGTTAATATGGGCGTCGCTGCCGTTTGAGGCGCTTCCAGGGGTTGATATGTGGCAGCAAACCATCGGCGATTCCCTCCGTAATGGTGACGACTTCAGACTATTTGGTAGACAACTCTCAAACTTTGTTTCCGAACATTTCGATTGTTAGTACTTGTTTTAAAGCACTATATCTTTGCGCTCAAAAGAATAATGATATGGATGCTAAAACTGTCGCTATTTCTTCTGTCCTCTCACTGGCTTTTACTTGCCAAACATGGCAAGTCGATTGGTGAACAAACACTGCCGAGTACATTTTGCCTACGGCAGAAACACCTTTTATGCTAGCATTTTAACACATCAAAACATAGTAACATAATAAAATATTTGGCAAACCTTGGACAAGGGTGATCTACTTTTCGAGGATCCCAAACAAGTGATTAAGAACGCGACGCTTGTTCAAAAATCACCTCCTTAAGTTGGGATTATCGACCTGGCCATAGGTTTTACGCGCTCAACCTGTGTCAAAACATTGGGCTTGGATTTTTGTCCAGTTAAGTAAACAATGGGCTGCCAGGTATCTCAAGGCGTACTTAAAAAAACATTTAGTTGCTGTTAGTATGATCTGTCTTGCAAAAGGATGACCATGCATCATCTTGAACCAGTTTAGATCCATATTACGTACGATTGCAGGGCTGCATCAATCGCCTTTTTTGTTTTTAGTTTGGCATCAGACTGATTAACAAGAAAAGGTTCTCAGGTACCGCGGGCTGTTGTTTCGCAATACCGTTGCTCTGGAACCGAAAGCTTGCTTCATGGTGGAAAACCAACTTTGATTTGTCGTAAGCGACCTCCCGAATGTAGCTTGTTGTCGCATTAGGGTGTCTTGCAGATAGCGACTTTCAAGGCTTTATTTATGTTTTTTCCCACACTTTCCATATCCGAGATAAAATGAAAAAATTTACACCATGTAGCTCCACAGTAGGCACAACACATTATTAAGCATGAGTTTTTGTGCAAAGGCTCGATAATATCGGTCTAAATTATCATTATAACACGAGTTTTACTGTTCGCTCTATCAGACTGTGATCATGTGATCAAGTTTGCTTTTCTTCACGCCCCAGGTGCGTTGGTCGCTATCATGCTGGACACAAGATTTTCCAGTGTTTCACCATCGAACAGTGTGACGACGACTTGATGCGTTTGGTGGAAACCTTTCAGTTTCATTCGGATCGAGAATTGTCAAAGGTCATTCAGGCTAAGAACAGCTCAACAGAGTCTGCCGTGGGAAAGCGAGCGGTGCTAAAAGTTTCTTACACTGGTCTGACTGGTAGCTATGCACCCAAAATCAGCTCCCGCAATATAGCCAGTGTTGCGGTACATGATCAATATGCTCAGTACAATTTTTCCTGACTTTGTATCATTGGATACCTGTGTTGTTTATACATTCCACTCGAACTTAACGTAGTTTGCCTCCTAGAACTAAGTAAGTGTTTGATTGTAAGTGTTTGATTGTGGCAAGGCTGTAACCAAGGAGTTCTTTTGCTACACTTCCCTGATTCAGTCTCTCCGCAATAGTCAGAGAAAAGACCACAATAAGGACAATATATTAAAGCCAAGGGTCTTAAAAAATTCGGAAAGTAGCATAGAAATACTTGTTTGTTCTGTACACAGCCCTTGATGAAAACTTGTTATCACCGATATTCGTTACAGTATATCTCGCACACTTTTCTTTGTCAGCGCTCTACTAGTGTGTGGTGGCTCGTCTGCGCCGCCGCAGCTGGCTGCAGTTTCGTGGGTCATACACATTCGAATGTGCACTTCAAGGGCTTCCTTAGGCTTTTTCGGCTGATATTTCGTTTGAAAATTGTAAGCTGGGACTTGTCATTACGTTGAGAAGAACTTTATTGGAAGAGCAGATTGAACACATAGGAGCTTCACAGAACCTTATGGCGATTTTGTGTTATGTGTCTCGATAGGGCATCCAGAATACAACTAATCAACTGTAATTGACCATAATATGTAGGTACCTGACTTTAAGAGAATGCGAAGATGTTTTTTGGAGGAGGGAGGGTGTCAATAAGAAAGCTTAGTTGAGAGGTACGAATGACTTGACATCTCCAAAACCAGGAGCGTGACCTTCATGGTCATTATCATCCAAATGCCAATTACGCTGTTGAGATGTAGCAGAAAGGCCTACAAGGCAAGCCAACTAAGCCGGGTTATTCATGCATGATTCGGCAATCACCAGAACAAATTCTTATGCAGATGTCGGTAACTCAACATGCGACTGTCGTGATCAATATAGACTACACTAAGGTTGTGTTACCCAAGAATTACAGAACAGACATCGGAAATACAGCACATCAATCCTTAGCAAATAACCGGACAAAGAATCAGACTCAGAATCAGCTGCTGCATTACAGTTTGTTAGCAGGCCTCACCTATATGGTTTAATCACCATCACCATCATTGTCAGCTGTAAGAACCGCGTACTTGTGGTGGTTTTGGCTACCACAGTTCCGTTCACCAATGATTCGGAGAGGGAAGGTATATAGCTGCGAGCTGATAAATTCGTGTGTAAATACAGCAACGTCAGTGAACTGTTAAGTGTGGGAATTGGGAAGGGAGCTATGGATCGTAAGCAATAGATTGGATGCACGAGCGCCCTTGAGGACCCGACGGGGTCTGACAACGTCTCCAACCATTGATGTGGCCAGTCTCGTGATCCACATCCAGGAAGACGGCAATGACCAGGGAAGCTGAGTTTGCTGGTCGCGGCTTTTATACTTTGCTGCCAGGTCATTGTTTGACCGCCTCTGACTCGTTTCCACCCCTCACGTGGTTGTGCGAAAAGAACCCTTCGAGGAAGTCAGTCGACTGGCATACGCAGCCAGCGCAACCGATGCAGTGTGATCAGTTCAGCTGTTGAGAGTGAGTCATTTATTCCGAATACCATTTGACGCACTTCAGCATTGCTGATCCAGTTTTCCCACCGCAAGTTATAAGCACAGTAACTAGTTAGAAAGACTGTGATTCGTGGTCCAGAAACGAAATAAAAAAGAGATCCGGTGCAATCGAGCTCAATTTTGCAATATTTTGAAAATACTGGTCCTCGCAGCATCAACAGAATCATCAGCACGGCTGAGTGTGCTAAGCAGCACTCAGATTTTCTCAACTCTTTATAAAAATAATCACCGGTATTTAGCTCAATGAACTTAACAGGGCCAAATATATTGACAGCAAATCATGGGTGTTGGAGGTTAAAAAAGTGGAAGCACCTAACTTGGTTCACTTAGTGCATTAACTGCTGATCTTTAGTGCATGTCTTCATTAGATCATAATAGTCTTCGCAGTACCATAGGTCTAAAATTGAAAATATCTTAAGCCGTGGCGAAACAACACCACTTAGGTGGGAGGCTCAATAAGCCAATGGCACCATTAGTAATTTGCAAAGCTAGCCGTAAGTCTTTGTAACGCACTGATACTCAGTGGGATGCGAGACTCAAGGTGCGTCATTTCAAATCATTGATGCATGGTAATTGGCTGATAAATCTATGGATCGCATGTGTTCTTTTTGAACAACTGGTCGAAATAGTTGTTCGATGTATTTGTTGAGTTGCACGTATTGAAAGTTTGGTCCTCACAATCAGGGTATGAAATTTTCGCACATGAAAGTAAAACTGAAGAGACCCCCTGAGAGGTCGAGGGGAGTTGAGGTCCTCCGGGAAAGATTTAGCCGTTAGAACAGACCTTAACTACTTTCGAAACTCTGTTTCCTTTGATAGACGTTAGATATACTGGATTTTTCAGGAGTCAACTACGCTAGGTGGTGACAACACGGGAGCTCAAATCACAAGCCGTTTCGGCTTCTGAAATGTCTTCAGTAGATGCCTTCAGCTGAACTTCCAGATGAAAGGTGATCCAACAGAATGTTGTTCTTTAACCGTCTGTACTGAAAACTATCCAGGTCACAAATGTGGACATCGTTTATTGGATAAGCAATAGCTGGAGCGACAAGATGAATGTGATCACTGGATGCTGCATAGAATTGTGAGAGCTCTCCTTTGAGGGGTTGAAGTATGGAACGAAGTCCTTCATATCTTGTAAAATTCGAGGAGGAAGGCATAACTCGTTTGTGGATGAACTTTTTACGTTCCTCTTGCTCTTTTGTTCGTAAATTAATTCAGACGGAAGCTCAGCTTAAGCGTATCTCGGTAAGCAACTCAGAAACAACACACAGGATTCTGTGGAATGTTTCCACACAGCACGGAGATTGATTACCGTCCCAAATGGTTGTACTACCCGAGGGATTGACATAATTTATATGGCTTTTCGCATTTGGAATGGCAGGGTAAGTTCAGTCAGTTATGAAGAACAAGAAGGGCGTGACTTTTTTCGAGTATTATATCTTCATTTGACGAAAAACAATCACTCTTGAAGTGCCAGTAGGACAACGCCAGGAAGTCGTTTCTCAAGTAGATATCCCATCATTCTGAAGCAAGTAAATCGGCAGAAAGCACTCGCTGGTATTGATTGAGGACAAATACGAACATCTTTGCCTGTGCGGGGAAAAGAAAAGCGAAGAGAGGAAATTTTTGGCATTGCAATTCTTCGCTGTTTCTGCATGGGGAAAAACTGTCCCAAGTCGCAGTTGATACAATAATGTATCCAGTTGCTTTAGCTCAACATGGTAATAATCGAACTATCTAACGTACTCTACTCCTTGGTCATTTGGCTCAAACAGGGTTTTTGAATATGCATGGTTTGTACACACGGAGCGGTGCAGAGTTCGAAGTACTTTAGAATGAGGCTACATAGTAGTTGAGGACTTGGAAGCTCTTTAAATAGGAAGCCCAAATGCGCGTGGGTGGACTCCAACCGCCGACCTCCCGCTTGCAGAATGTGTGATTTACTGAGGACGGTCACTCAGACTCGTGCTAATGTACTTGAATTTCACGGATAATTCATCACAGCTTTGTCTGGTGGAACAACAGCTGATGACAGTCAGTCCCATTAATACCCAAGCGTGCGTAAGCGCGACGGACAGCGGGCTTCCACGGTAGCTTATTTCAGTAAGTGGGAGGTCGGTGGTTTGAGTTCTTTCCCAGACATGTCTTTAAGTTAGTGATACGTGTACTTGAAATTCTCACATCAAGTTCACCGCAGTGTTTGATATAAAACAGGTCAAGGGACTTCACCAAAAGTCAGCAAGATATCCAAGCAAAATTGCTATCTCCTTTTGTTTGGCCTATCTGCCTGTGTCAACAATCAATCTCCATCCCTAAAAGCGCAAAATATCGCAGTTGCTTGGCTAACTCTTCTGCTTATTTTCCCTCTAGCGTTGATGAATAAGATTCTGCGGACAAGGATCCACTCTAGGTGGACATACACTTCAAAGCTGTGCAATTTATCATCACAGAGTGGATGGCGTCGCGGTGCAATGACAGTAAGGAGAGTGCTCAGTTAAAGGAACAACTCCAGTCATTCACTTGGTAGGCCACGACCTTCTGCGTTCAGAACTCTGGAACTCGGTTTCTGAAGTGTGGTTCAATTAAATGCATTGATCATGCGGTGAACCGATCACATATGCTTTTGGAGAACAAACGACGAATGTACAATTAGGAAAAAGTTTGGGCTGGTTGCAAACAAACCAAAAAGGCATCTTGGGTGCACACTAATAGTGTTTCAGAACTAACTAGGTTACTTTAGGTGAGATATAAATAGCTATCTAATGGACGTGAAGAAGCCATACCATGTGTACTTGAAAAAACCAAGGACCCTAACCTTTTGCATACTCCTGGGAGTTCAGTAAGCTGTCCGACTGAAGCTTCGAAAATTTCATCATGCGTAAACTCGTTAGACAATTTTGCGGATGATGGTCTTCCATATCAATCAATTGTTGTTGATCATCAGATCGGTGCCTTTATTATTTAAAAAATACCTTCTTGCTTGCCGTTAATTATTCAGCGGCCCCATGGACCACTGACGAAAATAAACTGACGCTGCTCATTTAAGGTTTCGTTTCAATCCATGTTCTATATATTTGAAGTATTGAAGTACCATTGTTCTCAACCGTAAGTAACTGAAAGACTGACCACTAATGAACGGAACACTCATTGTATGAATACAGATATATGTTTTATACACCAACCTGTTTTAGCTGAAGCACCAGGTTAATTCCTTTGATGGTTGTCAGGGTTACAGTACCTTCTGTGCATTCAGCATGTTCAACCATGTAGTTCACCTGGAAATGAAGGAAAAAATTCGGGTTACGGAGTTTATTTATATGGGTAGATTGAGCTTCATGTATTGGGTTACCGTTACGCTCGTTCCACCAATTAAGCGAAATTCAGCATGAGCGGTGAAGCAGTACGAGACGCAACCAAAGTCAGACAGCTAGTACCTGGGATTCAGGTCGTCAGTAAACACTAGTAGTGGACAACTAGGATGGTTCTTATCAGCAGAGACACCTGCTTGTTTACAACATTAAATAAAGTCAGATGCATTTTAGAACCAGGCGTCTTGGCATTGAGTGGGCTGAGTCGTACGCTGTGTGAGCAAACACTTGCACATCACTTACCAGTCAATGAGAAAAGTAGAACCTTTTGGTTTTATATGTTCTGCTTCTGCCTCCAGTGCATGGATATCCTACCACCACCCACTCCATCCTAGGTGAACCAGAATTCAGCAGACTGGCGACACATTGCTCACCGCTTAAGGCGGTACAGTTCCCGTATTTTAAACGTGAGAGAATTTTCTAAGTTGAATTCTCTTTACAGAATTAGGCCAGCATGGAAAAAGTTGCGAAACAGACACAGGTTGAATGTGCCAACTGTAAAGTATTTGAACAAATTAATCATAAATTTCCAGGTATGTCTACGGCGATATCCCGATTTCATCTAACAAAGGACAAACCCGAGTTTAGGTTTTATCGACACAGTAACAATTCAAAATATCCGTCACTCATCAACAACTCACTCTGGTGCTAGCCACTTCCTCGAACCGATACGAGCTGATGGACTGACGAGTGTGATAGTCTAGAAACTGCACACCGAACCGAGTGACAGCAACCCACACCCTGGAGCTGCCATCCTTTTTATTGGGTGAACTGGTCAGTGGGCATTTGGACTCTGCCGAGAAAACAGTAGCGCCAAACAAAGGCCATTTTTCCAGTGCCTCTGTATAAAATGAAAGTGAAAGCTTGCAACCGCTGAATGGTAGACAACACATGAACGATGATAGACAGTTTAGTTTGCTCTATTCTAGTGCAAGTTCTCAACTTAATGAGAATAATCAACATCTCTTGACCAATCTCGAATACCATTTGGACAAAGATCCATAAGAAAAAACCGATTCGAAATTTACCTTTAGAGAATGATGGTGACAAAAAAGGACAAAAAGCTTGATGCGAACCCGTGGTTATCAAAAGGCTAAGGCTTGTATGAAGGGCATTATGAATTGTGGTGGAGTTCCAAATCTGCCAGTTCGAAAACGAAAACAAGAAACTTGGTAAGAATGATTTGCGGAGCAAAGCCAAGAGACAAGATATAGAAGGGTTGAAGAAGCTGCGCGGAACAATAGTGGATTACTATTCCTAATGCTGTTGATGATAAAGCAGTGGTTGAGTTGTTACATCTCGATGGAAGGATAAGAGAAAGAGGTCACCAGTAAGGGTCTTCTGAGAGCGAGCTAAATGGCTCACGCTGGAGTGTACAAACCGCTGATGAAAAAAAATTACTTCATAATAAAGACTGAGAGTCTTTATTAAAGGAAAACCTACTTGTGAGGTTACTGACTATATTGACTACAGAGGCAATTTACTAAGGAGATTTGAGTTTGTTAACCAATGGCGGTTGATAAAAGGATCATGGCGGATGTGTTCCACTTAGAACATCCTGAATTGAAAGTGAGAGAGACCAAGGAAAAGTGTACAAAACTAAATGCTTTTATAGGGTTATCATGGCTGTGTTTGCCTTCTCGTTGACTTCACTGAGATCGGCGGTGGTCTGTATTCCCACATTGGAAGTCTGAAGGATAGCAGAGGGTTGAGAGAACCAGAAAATATATGAACGCTGGACAAACCAAGTGGGATAAGTTTGTCCGTATAGAGAAAATAAACAAAACAGATCCTCAATGACCTGCACAGATATCACCGGTACCTGATACGAAGTTCAGTCAAACATTTCCAATATATGCGGTACTGCTTGTTCGGTTCCATCGAATAAGTTTAGGACAAATACCCAGACCATCCAATGAAGATGCTGGGCAAAACCACGCATACAATGATCGTTTATGACCTCAATAGAAGTCTTTCATTCTTTGTTTTGAAAATATCACCATGACTAGACTAGTGTGATGTTGAGAGATCGTAGTCATTCGCATCAGCTTGGATTCCGGCTTCAGCAATGGGTAATAAATGGAAAGACTGAAAGATACACATGTTGCAAGACAAAGTGAAAAGCCACATGATAAAAGCGACTTCTGGATAAAAAATAAGAGGAAAAATGAGAGGCAATCCCTTTAGAACGGAGGGTTTTGAGATCCTTGGAAAATACAAAGATTAGTGCATGTGCGTCAGTGGAAGAAAGACGCAGGAAAAGGAATTGCAATAGGTTCTTACAAAAGATGGCGAGGATATTAATGAGTTTAGAACGGAATGATATAATTAATCCTTGTAGATGTCTGCAAAACATTTCTTCCACTTCACGAAGGGGAAACAAACTTGGTCAAATCGTTTGGTTCAGCAAAGTGTACCGGATTCAAAAAACTTGTGGATGATTGGAAGTAGTCAAATTTAACTTTTTCAATTTTGAAGGAGATATGTCATGATATTTTGAGCAGCAACATCACGTTGACTCTCATTTGAAGAGCTGATGCAGAAGAAGACAAAGACAACAAGTGAGAACGGATAACTATGATGAGTTGGTCAAACGGACTGGAGTGGACTGAGGTTGTACAGTCAAGAGAAAGTTACTTTCGATTTCTGAAATAAGCCTACGGATTTTGAAGTGACAGTAGTGCAGAAAACGCCGCTGTATTCTGACTTCTTTGTGTCAAAGGAAAAAGGTTACTGGGTGCTGTGAAAAGTGGATTTGCCAAAAGTTTTCACTTTGCGGGAGAGATCAGATTGGAGGAAGGAAAAACGCAGAGATCGTTGTTATTCAGTGAATGGTAGATATGAGGGCGGCAGGTATAGTTACAGAAAATGTGACCTTCGGACGATAATCGTTACTAGGGTAGGTTACATAGGCTCAGTGATTAGCTGCAAACTTTTTCTTACTGATAGGAGTGATTGATGGATCGTCTTGTGACGAACGGGTTTTGTGAATAACCGCATTGTTGTGCCATACAACATCCCATTGCTGTCAAAAACATTAGTGTTGAAACTTTTGAAAACGCAACTTTCCAGCTCCCTGTACAAAACAATGGCTGTATTGAGATTATAGGTCACACATATTTGGAGATAAAAAAATACTAGAAACCGCGATAAATGAGCAAACTTTCAGATTCCAGTAATGGAACAAAACCCATGGAGAAATAATTGATTAAAAAACATGTAAGTTGGTTGCAACTGACATTGGGATAAAGTTATTGTCCAGATTGCCATCAAGTAACTGCCGTTGAAATGCTTATTTTCTGTTAAGAGAAGAGAACCAGGTTAAAATGTCTTTCCTCAAGAGGCATCGCTAAGAAACAATATCAAATGTTTCAAGTGCCAGGGGATTTTTCACGCAGTGCAATCTCGTCGCTTTGTTTCATGAACAGCCGTTCACTGCGGGAGCTAAGTGTGACTATAGGACGAAGGATACTGCTTCCACGGAACGAAGCACGGCATGCCTACTATTTACGTAAGGTGCTTTGTTTCATGAACAGCCGTTCACTCCAGGAGCTAAGTGTGACTACCTACAAAAGCATCTATAGGACGAGGGATACTGCTTCCACGGAACAAAGCACGGCATGCCTACTATCTACGTAAGGCGGATGTACACGGTGATTGTTTTAGTTACGTAGTGCAGCGGCATCTATATAGCAACTTTAGAAATTACAGATTAAGACCTGTTGGTAAGAGGCGTGTTTTGCTGGAGCTGTAAGATATGATTGTCCAAAACGTTAATCAGTAATTTCAGAGGGACGGCTGGCAGCAGAAGGAACACTAGATGGGGTACGACACTTGTAGTTTCTTTCCAAAAAATGAACGGTGTGTAATCAAGTAAACAAAAGGCATATATTGTCCAGGAAAAAAGAATGGCCACAGTAGTAGAATAAAAATCCTAATTTCGTTTCTGCCAGAAAAGAGGTTATAAGGAGGAGAAAACTCACGCAAAAATGCTGCCTGAGCATCCAATAGAGAACTTTTTGCTTCCTGAAGAAGGAAACGTTTTACCGCCCTCAACCATTGTTCGTCAGCAACGTGAAGTCTTTCCGGACGGAGACTGAGAGCTTCCGCACTATGGAGGAACAAGACATTACACAACAAAGCTGCTGAGTCGGCAAAAATCTTTTGCTCGCCAAAATAAAATCTTAAGCATACCGTAGCCATTATTTAGTTACCTGCGATATCAAAGAGGATAAACTTAGAGGTAGTGAATGAGCACATGGCCCAAACTTGTGCGTTTCAGCGATGGACGGTACGAAACTCACCGCTGAATTGACTCAGATCCACCTCGTCCGTACCACAACAATGCTGAGACGCGTGCACATTCCTCCTGATATTATGGAACAAAAGGCAATTTAGTATGAACATGCAGCACATAGAAAAAAGGATGTGGGACACAAACGAACTCTATGACTCACCACCGAATCGTTTGGGTTCGAATTCAGCTCCCCTGAAATCCACTGTCCACAAAGATAGTCTTCGGCAACCTAAAGGGTTATAAAAATCGGTGGTTAAACCAGCGGTTGGTATCCATTTTATTGTAGCGTCTGCCGTCCCTCATATCAGCTCACCGGGCAACACGGTAGCTGCTGCATCTTAAACGATAACCTCAAATTCGAACTGCTTAGATACATTGCCGGACTACGACTACTGAGCCTCAGATCATAAGCTAGCGGTAAACCTCATGTGTGAAGCGCTAGAGAGTTAAACCCCATGCACAACCAAGGACAAGAAACATTACTAAGTTTTATGAGATCACTGATGTTTTACCTACACTTCCTTGATGGAGATGAAAACCAGTACAAGGAGAAAATGAGATACTGATCTGGACCAACGTAGATACAACGAGAAAAGAAGGTCGCTTTATTCATGTGCAGTTGGCTAATTCTACATGAGGTAGTTCAATCAATATGAGTGAACGTATCAATGTTTTCGCTTCGCCAAACTCTTGTGAGATCTATCCAGGGGTTTGTTTTGTTTCCATCACTTGTTGGAAATCAGGAAGGCTTTGTACGTCATGATGATCACAGGAGGCCACGTGTGTCAGACTTGCTTTATACTGTATTTTGACGCCACGTGATTGTGTGTTACAAGCCAACAGTCAAGGATGTGACTTTGAAATTTAGTCCTGCACTGCTGGAGGGATTTTAATAGAACTGAAAGAAACAGTATTGAAAGATTTACAAGCTTTGTTTATACAGTTGCGAATAATGAGAATGGGAAATTGCATCGGTGTTTTGTTTGAACAACACTCAGGCATATGACAAGTTCATGAATATGTTTATATATATATATCTATATATATATATATATAAATTCAGAGAGAGAGAGAGAAGAGAAAATGATAAAAACCAAAAAATCCCAAACAACATTGCACTGTAGGCCAGGCCGCTGGAAGGTCGGACATGCTAGGTTACAATTGCAAATGTAGGGTCACAGTCCGGGGTCAGTGATTCAAGTTGGTGAGAGAAGGCACGCATTGGTTCTGCAGTGAAATGATGAACGATAATAGTGTCGAACCTTTCTGAATTCGGAGAGATAGAGCAGGAAACAACCATCAGAAAATCCCATGAAAACACAAACTCAGTGTGAAGGTTGATGTTGGCTTGATGGGTCTTAATCGTATAGCCCAGCATTACATCACCATATGTATTGTACCAAGCAATCAGGGACGATCAGGACAATGACGCACAAGCATAGCAGAAAGTTGCGAGGGAAATGACGAAAGAGAAAGGGTTCGAGTTCACGAGAAGTCAGCGTAAGCTCACCAGCGAAACAATGACGTGGGCTGAAATTGCAGCGGTAAAAAGCTTAAGAGTGTTGCGTTAGTTGAGTGTAGAGAATGATTATCTAGTTCGCGTTTTGTTAGACGCACTTAAGAGTAATGAGCCAAGTAACTTGGTCTGATGAGTCGAGAGGCCACGATGATAATAAAAACTGATAAGCATTGATCCGATGGGACACTGATCAATGATCTAAGATCCGAAACGCTACAATTTTTCAGGAGAAACTTGTTGAACGTAGTAATCGGTTCGGACAATGCACTTTAACTGATGCATGATAAAAAATAACAAGTTTTCAGCCGTAACACTCTCCGTGCTGAGCTGACATATCATCTGAAAGGGGTAAAAGGAATGGAATACTACCAGGTCACCCAAGCCTCGACTGTATTAGTCAAAATGTTGAGCTTGGGCTGGAACCATGGACCTTCTATTCAGTAAATCCACTTTCTAACCACTGAGATATCTCGAACTCTGATTGGTGTAGCCATCCAAAAGATTTGTTGTGGGCTCCCCATTTGTTTTTCAACTGTTTCACAAGGAGGACCAAAAACCGTTCAAATTCCAAGGATCAAGATTCTAAGCTGTCTCAAGGCATATTGAGGTTGCTCAGAGCCGATTAATCAGAGCAAATACTGCCTCCATATTGAACAAAGGTGCGCGAGGTCAACTAAAACGGTTTGGGAATGTTTACTCTCACAGACAAATTACAGAAAACCGATGGCCTGTGATATTCTGATAATAAATACCATTTATTATAGAGAGAGGCAAGTACGTGAAAATCTCCTCGTTATCCAGCAATTACCGTAAATAGAACAAACAATCCAACTTAAATGCGAAGGAAGGCAAGTGATAATCAGGATGTGCTCCGCGGAAGCCCCAACAAACCCAAGAAGTTCTTTGATTCGGTCACTGATCTCTGAGCCGTAAAGGAGAGAAACCATGTGGAGTTTTTAACTTACCACACTTATCACACTGGAGGCATCCATGCCTTAAAACGTTCCAACTCAAACGGCATCCTACGGCATGTAAATCTGTATGGAAGGGATCACGTGTCAATTTTACGGTTAGTGCAGATAGGCACACTAATTTATTGGGGTACTGCCATGGAACATAGCATGGCTGGCTTCACTCCCTGTTTCAGTCAAGCAGGTCAATAGCCACAAGTATTTCGCGACCACAAGCGGAATCAGAAAACACCGGCAGCAAACCGGAGCTATTCATGTCCATCAGCCTTTGTCGTTATTGTAATCAGTCAAATATCATACAAGCCTTCAAGTGCCCCGCTTAGGCACTTGAAAACGCCTGTTTCCATTCAGTCGAACTGACACATATCAGCTAAGGCTTATTTCAAACATTTAGTCTTTTGGGGTTGGATTTTCATCAGCCGCTAGAAGCTGAATCGTAATGATCTGGCTCATATATACTGGCCGGAATGTTTTGTTTGGTTATTTGATCGTTTTTTCAAGTGTCTATTTATTTGATGACAAAACAAACAGCCGAATGCCGATAGGCATTTACTACATAGACAGAGTGAGCATGAGGTTCACAGCACCGGCTTTACAGTCATAAACAAGTAATAAAATTTCTGGTGTACACATGAGCCTATTTAAAAACAGATCGAGTAAAATGATGCTATGGTGTCCAATTCACCTGATTCTTTAGCTAACTGAAGGGAATGATTTGTTCTCTGGCGGGTTTATTTGGCAAAAGCAAGAAGGAACCACTTAATGGGTATCCAGTATGAGTAATAGACTGCTTTTTGGATAGAAAAAGAAACATATTGATCTTGAATTTCCTTTAATGAAACCAAAATGTCGAGCACAGTACAGCTGGAGAATAAGGTAACTTTACTAAGTCTTACGCAGTTTTCAGCAAGTAATTAGCCTTTAACTTTCTTCAGTCAGGCAAGGTCAAGTTAAATCTTCTCCCCATTGTGGAACTGTACTCAAGTATCTACAGCATCGCTCGTTGCCAAGCTGTAATATAACGGTGTGAATTGTCTTGTGTTTAATTCATAACACGGAAATCTGAGTCTGGTTATTTTGAAGAGCATATTTCTACTGGCTTCCCGTTGTGTGGTGCGGCGGAATACTGGAATTTATCAGGACCTAGCACTTTTCGCGTTTGGGGTTTAAACCCCGTCTCGTAGGATTGGAACGTGCACATTCAGGTATATATGATGAAGGATGGTATGAAGTGATGATGACATGAAGAACCCTACATTAAACAGACTTTAGCGCACCAATGTTTCCTTGCTTCATATTGAACATCCACCTTACGTGGTGCACTCATCTAGGCGCTTAGTTAAGTTGGCACATTCAAAAGCTGTTTTCAAACGCTTCCAGATTGCTCGTTTTATGTGACGTGGAATTTCTTTTGCAGTGGATTATTGTAAGACGTTTTATTGGAATTCTATTCCAAGAAAACACATGAAAATGGCCAGTAGAGTTCTTGAACATTTAATCCCGGGAACCAGCTCATCATATGGCTCTATGTTGGAAAGAACAGTGTATTAAAGTTTTTAAAGTTAATAAAGACTAACCTGTTCGAATAAATATATCAGCATTGGCTGCGGCAACCTACAGTAATCGACGGGAACGGTCCATGAGATTCGCCGGAAGAACAGGCCGAAATCCTCGTAGTACACGGGGGAGTCGAGCAAGTATTCATCATAGTTGAGGGGAATCAACAGATAGCCTTCATTCACTGACGAAAAACGGAAATTACCAGAAGGTGAGACCTGGGTTCAGAATTTATGCATAACAGCTAAATGCAGCTTGTAGTAGAGGGACGGTAGGTTCCATTTTTTTAAAAGAGCCTGTCATTTTGGATGATGAATCATAGGTCGGCGTCCTTTGGGTTGATTACCTTCCTTTTTCGTTGGCCTCAGGTCAAAATGTGATTATTCTCTGGAACCTTCAGGTCCAGAACGTCGACTTGCGCGTTCACTCCCGGCTAGCATCCTGAGCAGATAGTTCAACAGGTAGTCCTAACCAGAACGCTGAAAAATAGTATCCGTCATCCAGGTTAACACAGGGCTATACACAGAGTTCCAGTAGCCACCTAAACTCTGATCGTGAGACTATATCAACCGGTTACCTTACTCCACGCCAACATTCCCAATGAAGCTACTTAGTTGGTCGAACTATTGATTTCACCAACTGCACGCACCACACGATGTTCCGAGCACAAGCGCACAAACACCGACACAGGCGCACCGCTCCGACGGGCTTAGAGTACCACTGTTTTCTCAGTATTAATTAATCTGTGAGTTTCAAAAATTCATAGACGCACAACAGCCACTGAAGTTCATCTAGAATTTCAGCATGGGATCATGTTATCTGTTAGCGTTTCGTTTGGTCGAACAAATGAATAATTATGCACAGCCACCTTATGGACTCTTTTCTTTGTCCGCGGGGTATTGCTTTCAGAAGAATTCATTGCTGGCGTAGAACTGAATAAAGCCAATGGCGATCTTAAAATTTGTTACGTTGGAGCATCTGTGAGTTCTGGAACCGAGTACTTAGTCACTGATTGAGAAAACAAAGCCAGTCATTAGAAGTACACACAGTACATGCGATGGTAGCTTACATCCTGGATGAGGGGATTTTCTAAGATTATGAGAATTGTTTGAGTCTTTTGGATTTTGAAATGATGTGTAGAGAGGTGAATGACAATCCTGGGGACGTTTGACTCACTTTTTCCACTGCTCACTTTTGGCGCGATAAAAAGGGCAAAGTCCCGGGCGTAGTTAGCGGTCTGAATATCAAACTGTTCCACTAAACCACGAATAACGTCACAAACCAGAGACAATTGTCCCACTGTTGCCAAAAATCCGGCATCGTTGGGCAGGTTGACCTCTTGCTGGTGAAACAGTGCCCCGGACTGAAATAAAGGTAAGGTAACTGAGGTTCGGAAAGCAGCCTCATGTTAGTGAGCCAATTACGAAATCCGTTTCTGAGAACGAAGGTACGAACTTTCTGGTGGAACGTGTCTGATTAGTGATAAATCGCTTGAGTTGTTGAGCTAATTTGACGATTTACTATAAAATTTCCAAAGGTGAATCTGTGTGAGATATTCGGGGGTTATTATCGACGAGTGCTAACATGCAAAAGGTCGACTCTCATTTACAAATGCTGGTCACACTTATCTTGAGTTTAGTTTTGAAGGGGTAGGTTCATTCCGTGTGATTTCGTTAGTTCTCAGTAGACTGGTAAGTTGTTTGAGTGGGCTAATTGTGGTTCGTGTTAGTTGGATGATCAAGTTCAACGTCACAATACTGGCAGTTTTCGAAAATTCGGCAAACAACTGGACAGCTAGTAAGATGAACGATAAATATTTTTGCTCATAGCCACATCCCTCTCGTTTGAACGGCCGTGTTCCTGTTCTGGCGTAATTATTCCGGTGAGTTCACACCAAAGGGAAGCACTGGACTCGGGTTTCGCTCTTATTAGAGCTCATCAGCAGTGCACATCCAATGACCGTTCCGCGATTTGAACCCCGGACATCTGACATGCGAGGCGAGCGTTTAACCAGTACTCCACCAACGCACGTTGGACGCATCTGAATTATCACGTCTGAACAGGCGAACGTGTTCACACTTGAGCGATGTGATTGTTGTGCCCGACTCATCGAACGATGACCCAGTAACTGTCCTGGTTGTGACGATCGATTGACCCGCCAGTCAGGACTTCCCAGTCAGGTAGCATGGCACACGCTTTAAACCCACCGGGCGGATTTTTTGTTGCAATTTTGGGATTTTGCGGGACGGGTATTTTTGTTCATAGCCACATCACTCTCGTTTGAACGGCCGTGTTTTATTCTATAACAAGAAAACGAGCTCCTGAAAACTTACCGTTAAAGCTGACAGAACGTTATCAGGAGGGAGTTTTTTCCGTGGACCAAGTTTAGCGACAAGAGTCATAGATCGACTTAACGTTTCTTGTGCCGCTGATGGAACAGGAGAAACAGGAACAGGGAAAATTATGTCGCCAGTTAATTAGGCAAAACTTCGTTTTTAAGTCATTGTCGACTAATCATAAACAAGCTGCGATAATCCATGGAGGCTAAGGTTTGTTAGTTCAAATAACTCTCTACACATTTTGGACATCTGCTTTTAGTATCCTACCGTCAAAGGTTTTTTTCCATAGATTATCACCACAAATGAACCAAGACTAGTAACAGGCTGTTAGTGTTGAACACATTATTCATGGTATTCTTCGCACCAAATCACTATTCATCCTTTATCTTTCCACTTTTTACCGAAAATTCCTTCCTGGTTGTGGCATGGCGGTCAAAAACCAATATGTATTATTTGTGTATTGCTGTCATGATGGTGCTCACAATGACGATGTACACCATTCGAATGTTTCCCACTTTCATGTCCCCAGCTCCCTGATTTCTCAAATCACTTATGAACACGTAACATTTAGGTGACACAGGGGAACTGACATGATATTCTCAGCGGTTTGAAAAGTTATGAAAAGCCTATTTACAACAACGAACGGTGATTAGTAGCTTGCATCTGTGCTCCTAATGAAGTAATTCATGCACACAATTCCCGAATGTGAATGAATGTGCGGAATAAATCCACGGTTGGGTGAACAACTGTGAGACTACGGTTTCCATTTGTACCTAACTTATTAGGGCGCGACCCAGAAAGTAGTTACTTTCATGGGTGTGCGTGAGTATATTTACTCCTGAAATCAGGATACGTTCACGCACTCAACTATCCAGAGAGAGATTTTGGCGACAGAGAAGAGCTGTGGGTACTGCAATACTTAGGATTTGCGGGGGAAAGACAGTTTTTGCGAGAAAAATAGTATCATCCTTTTAGGGTGTCTCGATGAGTTGAACGGCACTTTAGCAAGTCATTGGGCAGAATCGCATTAAATCAGTTCATTTGTTGAAAAGAGATTCGATAAGATATTCCGTAACCGGGAACTTGGTTGGTTGAATTCATTATCTTATGTACAAGAGTAACAGGCACCGGTCGTGAACGGTTCCATAGATTGTCTTCTTCGACGTTAGAGAACTTCTAAATTTAAGAGTCTGAATTATCCATTTTGATCAGAGCCATAAGAACATCAATTACTGGAGTCTATATTACGACTGTTTTGCAATTTAAAATTAAGGGGAAACCGGTTTATTGATAACTTCTTACAACAAATTTTCATTGGTTTGTTACCTTGTGCAGATATATTTTAAATTGCCGAATTAGGAATACATAAACTGGGAAAGTTTCGAAGCAAAAGTTGGCCTCCGTTTCTCGGTCAGAGGTAATGAGTTTCTTCTCTGGAAATCAGGGACAGCTTAGGCAAACAGAGCATTACAAACTTAGTACCGCAGTACCGACGGTCAGCAGTTGAATCCATTAGTAGAACAGACAGCCAAAATTCGAGAAACTAGCTAAGCTGTGCGGTTCAGATGGTAGCTAACACTTGGGCATCCCGTCTCTAGTGCCAAACATAGTTTTCCTGAGTGCTGGGTATTCTGGTGGCTGAGTTTGCCAACTTCAACGGAGTAAGCTGTGCACCCATCGACTTGTTGTTCGTTTGATGCCTTAACTTATATTTGGAACTCTTTCTTGAGGTTCACTGGTTTCAAGGTATAGGAACACATGGTCTTGAATAAATAGAAAGGATGGAAATACTTGCCGGCTGGTAAACACCGACTACAGATCTTGAGTACATCTGATGTAGCTTCAAATTTCCCATCTATAGGTCTACTAAATCCGCTTTGCTTTATAATGAAAAATACACTTTATGTGGAATGGTCAGGGAATATGGGATATCGTAAGGACGTTTCGATTGACTATTTTGTCATGTGGATACAAGTAGAGGTGACTACCCTGGATGTCAGTCCTTTTCAAACGCTGACGCAAAATTCACGTTTTTGAAAATGCGTGGAAAGTCACGTGTTAGATCGGTGACAAAATGTTTGAACTTCTAAGATAGTTACAACTCGACTAATGGCCTAATGGCCGTCATTCAAGGAAAGTGCATGAAACTGAGTAAGAATTCACTGTTTCAAACAAACGGCTGGGGAAGTTCTCATAAAAGTCAAGAGGCATAAGAAACGCCAAGAGATGAAGGCGAATGTCGAGTGTTAGTGAGAGATTTGACAGTGCTGGGTATACAGCACTTTAGAAAATATTAACGTTTTGGGGCCACAGAAGCTGATTTCCGGGACAGTGGTTATCTCGGTGCATCCGAACGTGAATACAACAAAACTGGAAAAATTGTGGAGGGCGCTTCCATAGCAGCCGAGCTGACATGTGGCGGTGAGGTTATCAGTGAATGGAGGTCATCTGCACGGATAGCTTAGATCGGAAGTACGCGTAATCTTACACTCTAGCACTAACGAATCTTCACAGATCGGGAAACTTTACAGCGGATATCCATGAGCAGTCGTCATTTGAAATGCCATAGACCAGAAGAAAAAGGACCCAAACCCGTTCAAAATCATTCCAAAACCTCCTCAACAATCAACCAGCAGTAAGAATTAAACACTTACTCTGCCCGGCAATACTAAGTAGTTATGATCGACAACCGATGCAGCATTCTTGCTGTATGGCTGTTTGTCTGTCTTAAAAGTCGGTTGACCTAATTAATTTACACGATGGGTTTTTGTGGTAAAAGCTAAAAGTGGTTGATCATCTCATGATTGTATACCGCACATTTGTGATACCGTTACGATGATATTTTGCGAATAACACAATCATTTTGAAGGACGTTTTTTTATGGAAATTTGTGGAGAAAATTTGTGGGTACTTCATTTCATTTTCAAGAGACAGACAGAAGAAACTTTTGGACAAAAGTGACTGCAAACAGGAGTTCAAATAATGCATACTATTACCTGGGTAGTAAACGAAGCGTAAGTTGCATGACGTACCGTTAACCAAGAGATTATCCCGCCTAGGTACACTGTTCACGTATGAGACTAAATATGGCCTGATTGTATCTGACGTTGGAACAAAAATGGAGACGAGCGCCCACAGAAGCCAGGGAGATGCTTGGCCGTTTCTGGAATGCAGTGTAAAATTTGCGCAAATTTATGTTGTACAGTGTAAAGATAATTCTGATAACAAGTTAAATAATTGCAGGATCCATTCTGTAGATTATCCGGCGAAAGTTTATTGAAGCACAATGTGCTGACCGAAGTATGTTTGCAGTAAAGTGAGCGTCCTTGCACGTACAGTGCGTCGTCAACCTTGGTGTAGATGACATTCTACTGCAGCTAATTCAGACTAGTTAATCTTTGTAGTCCGACTCTTCATATTAGAACAGGACACCTTAGTGCATTCATGCACATTCATCACCAGAAACTTTGCTCTCCCGTAACATGCATGCCCATCAAGTTGGTTACTTCGATGAATTAATCGCATTCTATTAGAGGACAACGTGCTTTTTGGATATCGGGCCAAAATTGGAGTTGCACCAACAAGCTGTATGAGGCTCAATCCGATGGGATGCCAGTCTTCAGTGAGGTAAAATCGGCGCGTCTGTATGCCTGCAGGTGTACAATTGGTAGATGCAGTATAAATCCCATAAACCAGAGAACACTGTTGGGGCTGTCAATCTAGGAGGTTCGCATTATTCCCAGAGTGAAATCGTGTCAGGGTGGAAAGTAGTAGACTTGGTAGTCATATGGTAGATACGACCAAAAAAAGAAAATGCCTGAAAAAGTTGTCACGGTTTACTTAATGCAGATAGTTCAACATGTTGCCATCGGTAATTTCACAGGTTTTGCATGAGAACCTCTCCGAAACGAACATGTTTTGCCATGGAAATCCTATCTATGATAGCGTTAATGGGCTTCTCATCCAACAGATGAAAAGAAAAAAACGCTGTGTAAGTTGATGAACCTTTGCTGAAAAGTAAAAAAGAATCACCAAGCAGCCGTTTCATACGTAATGAAAATCGTCAGCAGCCCACGAAACTCCATGATGTCTCGAACCCACCAACTTCCGCCTAGTACTCTGAACACCTAGCCGTTCAACCACGAGCGGATGATCAGCAGCATGATTAGCTGGCAACTAGACAGGAGGCACTAATAATCAGCTTCACCTGATGAGTGAGTCTGTCAACACGTGACCACGTGTTCAAGGATGAATGACGCTAGATTCTGTGTACTTCCTTTCCCCCGGGTCACACTCTTCCCTCATCTGTACCTGCTGTTTATTGCGTCTACCCCATAGACTCGATATGCATTTGTAATCCCTCATGAACTTTTAGCACTTAACATGTCTAACCGATTTGGCTGACCATCTTTCACGCGCGCTTTTTGACCATTTTGCGTTACCGCGTGTTGTGCGCAGGAGTAAGCCGCGAACTAAGATTGATTTGCCGTCTTCTCCGGACTTTCTTTAGACTTGCACTACTTCGCGCAACAATTTAGACGGAAACCCCCATAATTTGAGGTCTATGCCCTTTTTATTACGCATTTTACACATGTCGTACCGCATTTCGTTCATAAATCTCAAGAATTCACAATTTCCGGCTTGTGATTTTGCGCGTCTTTTTAGTGGGCTTTCCTGAATACGTCGAAGTATTCCACATCCTGTATAAGTTTGAACTAATGACAACTGCTTAAAAACATAAACCAGAGATTTAGCTAGGTTCCAGGTGAGTCGCTCGAAAAGCCAAATTTGTTTGCAAATGAGTGTATTTCGATAATGAGTATTTTGTTCAGCCGCTCGTGGCCACGTCAGCAAGTGTTCATACTACTGATGGGATGATCACGAATTCGGAACAACCTGAGGTTTCTTGAGATGTGCACTGATGATGATTCCCAATAAGGATGAAGCAGTTGTATAGTGCTTAGATCGATTGACTTCACTTGCAAGATGAAATCTCCCTTAAAATTGTTAAATCTCACAATTATGGCGGCTACGCGCTTGCTATTCTGAAGGTACGATAGAATCCGGTAGATGACGGAAACGCTGTTGTAATAAAATTCATGCAGGCTTTGAGTTTTCTGTGGACAATTCGGACAACTTGAAAAGCTGTTTGGTTTTTGTCGCATTCCTGATATTGCTTTTTTATTTTATACTTGTTTTTATATTCTTCTGGAACGCAGTCTTCTTTTAAATGAAAAGAATACTCAAGAGGGAATTTAGTTATGGATAAAAGGCCTGCGAGAGAGAGAAAACAAGAAAAAACGTGTTTTTTTCGATTTAGCTTGCTGTTGGGCTGTAGTAACGTGCTGTTCTGAGGTTTTTGGTGAAGCCATGCCCAAGCATACATGAAACTGGTTGAAGCATAGACGGACCTCAAACCCCTCGTAGGAATGAGGGCCTACCAAGCTTGCTTACGAAGTTAGAATAGAATTCTTTTGAATACTCCTGCATAAAATCAGAGTCCAGCGTCATCAAGACTTTGGCACTCAGCCACTGGAATGTGGGTGGTATTTCAAGCTGCGGTACCGCCACTGACTGAAAAACTCAGGCTGCATTGCTATCCATGAACCCGATCTCCCTACTCAGTTTTGTCAACCACTTTACCTAGTCAGAGTACAAACAGTTCTGTGGTTGATTGAGCCTCCTGCTGAGCACTAAGATGTTCAAAATTGACGTCTAAAGTATCTCTGCGTTTCATCGCTCACAAAAACTACAGGGGATGGACTCTATTGCGTACAAGGTGGCAACCATTTTTAGTCCTGAATGAAGCTTCCAGAACCAGTCAACCAATCGCATGACCTTACGGTGGTAAGAAAACGCAACAAGTCTTGGTTTCGATGATATCATACAACATATTAATCGCGCTAACGACACGTGAATTGTGGCGATGACGAAATAACTCAACATTGTCTTATTTCTTAAATTCTCGACCAAACTAAAGGCTACTAGTAATGCTTCTGCTTCTTGCCTAGTAAATAAAGTGCGAGTATGAGAAATGCACTCATTTCTAAACAATTTGGATTTTACGAGAGACTCACCTGGAATCAAGCTGAATCTCTCGTTTGTGATGTTTCCAGGAAACTGAATGTGCTGCACCAGGCCGCCTCGTGTTTCAGTTGCTACGATATTTGAGATTCGCGACGCATGTATATTCTTAATGCACTACTCATTTGGTTAAGTGCAACAGCAAAAGGTTCAAAAGCCTTGTTTGTCAAGGACAATAAAGTGAATGAGTGGTGGAGGGAGTTTAGGTATCCAGAAGAGACATCACTCGGTGAGTAAGGTAGATGTTAGGGTCGAGATAGGCTGAACAACACTTTTATCCGTGTTGGGCATCATCAACAGGAAGGGTTTCACGAAAATCTACGGTGATTCAAACACCTAGCCTCTCGGTTGGTAGATCAACATTATGATACTCGGAGTTTAGGTGCACACTGCTGACAATTCACAAGACTGAAACGGTTGTATAGGATTTCCAAGCTGTTCAGGATAGAGTTGCTTTGCTGCAGGACATTCCGAAGCCTCACATTCTCGGAATAACATGCAGCAAAATACAGTATGACAGTGCATAATGTTCAAGGAGGCGTTAGAATAAAACGATGGCATTAAGTAAACTGTTTACACCTGTTGGTTGAAAAGCCTAATAATCAATATTCTCCTATTTGGAAAGTATGTTTCCAGATTTGGAGTTCCGCAATGGATTTATATGTGCAGTCAAGAATGACAACTCGTTAGAGGATCCTTGAATGAAGAAAACCACATATTTGGAACGGTGGCTTTCCAAAGGACACATAAACAAGCGAAGTTGAATTGGATCTCAAGGGGAAAATCTACTCAGGGAAAGATTTTTCGACTTCACTAGATGGACTGAATTCTCCCCTTGTACGAAGAGGCCTTTTGATTGTCGGAGGGCCAGTAAAACATGGTTTCAACACAAAAGGACGTATAGTTAAATCATAAGGTGCACACCGATTTGATTCCATACGGAACATGAGGATTCAGGCTACTGTGGACCAGCAATCACGCCAAAGCCTGCTTCTTTGAGCTTGATCACGCTACAAACGTACATCCGATTGGCACTTATGAACACGAACTATGGCTTGAGACTCATCCGATATCCTGAATTTCTTGATTTTCCTCAACTAGCTGAGATTCAAATGTGCCGGTTATATACCGAGATTTACTCGTATATTCCCTGCTTAATTAAGTTGAATTCTCTGATGGATCATTAGCTTTTCGCGTCAGGTCGTCCCTTAAACGACAGGCTTCCGGTGGCTGATAGGAGAATATGTTTATCACCAGGTCCCATCTCACAAGACCATCGATAAGAAAACCCAAGACACAACTTATCTGCCAACTAGGTAACTGACATGCAAATGCAAAAGTGTACATTCTATGCAACATTGACAAAATTATCAAGCGTAAAATCCCGCCGTCAGTCAGTGCGCTTTATGTGCACTTTTGCGTTAACCAGCCAGTAAAACTGCATTCTGTGTACACACTTACGGTACGTTGCTCCTGTTTCGGTATGTCTGCTTTACCAGCTGGCAGTAAGTCTCATTGCTGAGCCCTGGATGCTTGGACACCAGCTGAAAGATAAACGGGGTTGATATGCAAATGAAACAATGGGAGAAACTTTCGAAATAATTAACGGGAAACAGCGAAAAAATTTCTGTTCATGGAGCCAGAAGTTCATATTGAATGATTTATTAGAGAGAACCTGTATCCTGGTCTCTACGATGACGGTTAGAAATCGTGAATTACTCTGTGGGTTTTCTCTTGTAGAAGTTCTGCCAACTCAGGTGAGGTAATGATTCTGCTCGCTTGCCGCAACTCTTACTGAAAAATGAAATCTATTAACGGGAACAGCGAAAAAATTTCTGTTCATGGAGCCAGAAGTTCATATTGAATGATTTATTAGAGAGAACCTGTATCCTGGTCTCTACGATGACGGTTAGAAATCGTGAATTACTCTGTGGGTTTTCTCTTGTAGAAGTTCTGCCAACTCAGGTGAGGTAATGATTCTGCTCGCTTGCCGCAACTCTTACTGAAAAATGAAATCTTAAACGACAAGTGAATATGCTCCGCCCTTATGCTGTTCATTGCACAACACTTCCAGTTTTGAGCTTAGTGTTTAGCAAATCCGTATAACATTTTGTTAGGAAGGATTTATGAACACTCCTTTCTAAGTCGTTCATCAAAACGCGACTCAAGTAAGCACTACTGTGTGGTACAAGATATAAAATTCACCAGCGGAACCCACAGAGAAGGACTACTTCCCTGGAGCGAACTAAGACAATGGACCGCTCTTTTCTGCATGGATTGACTTCATCTACTGGAAATCTCACCTGAACTTTCCGAATCTCTATTAACTATTTGATAACTTTGTTTCCTGGTAATGAAGGCAGAAAACATTCCGGTATCTGTGAGTAGTTGTTGGAGTAAATCTGGTTCTGAGGTAATCGCGTCACAACTGGCCAAAACTGGTTATCATCAATAAGGAACATGCTTTGAATTTCCATATCGAGTTTTCCTGAGGTGACTTATATTGGTACCGTTCAGACCATTTTACAGATAGCAGGTTTCAACGGAATCTGGCTACCGGACCCAAAAATGCCATTGAGTGTGAGTCGGAATACGAGCAAACGTCTCACAAACACCAGTTCGCTTCTGTAATTCATTCACCTTTGTTCAACTTTCTTCATCTTGTCACAAATGTACTGTTAAATTTGTCTAAATATACAGGCGATCTATATTCTGTCACACACCAGCTTGTGATATGCTAGTAAATAGGAGCGATCGATAAAGGTGAGCATTTTCGCTACCTTAGTTATTTTCAAATTTTTTTACTAAAAAGGGTTTACTACGCAACATATTTCACAAAGCCCGGAATCAGTGCATTTGGGTGTTCGAAATTCATTGACGCCTGGCGCATGTGAAAATCAAGCAACTGGACAACAAATAGTAATCGCGGGACGTGGCTGTTGATTCCCAAATGAGAGGCTTGAGAAACACTTGGAATGTCTGTACATGATTTTAAATGGAAGCAGTCTAGTCGTTGCCTAGCTAAGACCTACACAGAAACCGTCGCAAATTGCGTGGCTTTAATTCCGCTGGTATTACTGTCCCGATTCCGTACACCATGATGTAACATGCTATAGAATGTTGGAAATCTAAGCAACACGAACTGATAAAGGATTGGATTCCTTTGAATTCTTGAAACCCGAGTAGCTTAGCAATCCGCCAGTGACCAATTCATCGAGTAAGTACCTTTTGAGGATGATCACAGTAACGGGAGTGAATAAACAGGAGTTATAGTGCGACTGCTATACAATTATACCTCACAAGAAATAACAAGTGATTTCTGACTTCTGATCAGAGAGGAAAGCTTAACGGGAAACCTCTGTTTTGACTCACATCGTCAGTAATACCTCCTTTGAGTGGTCTCTTTTGGAGAGGAATACTATAAATAATCTATCCTACTGAGCTTGGACGAGTACAAAGCTTCCTTTAACAGTTACTATGCAAAGACAATTTGGAATAGTCGTTTTTTGACAATGTTCAATGGAATGGGTCATTCGCTCACTTCCACAAGACTCCTGAATATTCTGTAAGACGGGGAGGTAGATTTTTCCTCCCCGCAAAATTGTAGGATATCTGTGTAGAGAACATGAAGATGAAAAGTTCAGATCAACAATGCGCTTATTATGTAACAGTGTAAATGCCGGGTTACAGAAAATCAGTAAATTTGGTAGATACTTTATAAGGTGCCAAGCGAGGTAAGCGAGTTAGCGCAAGTGTTAAAATGCGACACCGAGGTTTGTATAAAATAACGTCATGATAGGCCTCACAAAGATTGTGTGGAGAATGCGATAATTCGCGCGACGGTCGCGACCGTGGATCTTAGATGTGAATATGAGCATTATAGTTTGTCGATTCAGACTTAAGGTAGACGGGTGCAAAATAAGAGCTAATTAACGGCGTGGGATTGTCTGACGGGACATGGGTTGAATGGTGAATGAAGCGAATACGATAAAGCCAGTGGTGACAGTGCGTTAGCGTTACGTTACAGGAGATCGCACCAAACTGCTGCAGCATATGTGGGCACCGCTCCCTCACCCGTCTTTAGAAATCATCGGAGTGGAGGGCTTTTATGCAACGAGTAAAAGATGACCGGTTACCCACATGAGAAAGTTTTCTTGGCTTCGACAGAATCCAAAGCATTTTGATGCGGTAGCATAGGCTGAAAAGATTCCGTAGTTGGCTGCCAACTTAGTTGGTCCAAGAGGTTACTCCTTCAGTGAAGAACACAGAACAGCGTAACACGAAACTGATACTGGATGGAAAGAATGATTGATAATACTATTCTCAACATTGATACGCTTACGGATGGAGACCTAAGAGTCAGCCGATGTAATCATAATATGACAGTAAGGTGACTTCCAAGTATCCCTATCGAACTTTTTCTTCTAGGCTTCTGCTCCTTTTCCCCGTTGCTGAAGCAGGAAGTCAACTAAATTTGTGAGATGTAAAGAAAGCCGGTTTTGATGATTCGTTTTTGTGGTTGTCTCAAAAGTTCATTGTCTGTCGTCTTCACTCAGCTCTGGAAGGCTGTAACAAACCCCTTTTAATGTTTAAATGGACTAATTTTTACCCACTCCCTGAAGCAATCTGCAGAATTTGTGCGAATAAGTTTTACAGAAACCTTATTTTGTATTCTACATCCAGGCGATTTTTATGGCGGTTCAGTTGTTGTGTCTCCGAACCAAAGGATTATTCATGCCATTATACGTTTTCTCCTGATTTATCACTGTTCTTGCATCGCCTTATCCTTTGATATTATCGAGGGAAATACCTGTTTTGTGCTGAATAACATTATTGTAAGGGTGTTTCTATACTCTCTACTTCAACTTCATAGGTTGAATCCGGCTTCCACTGGGATTTCCGGGAATTTCTCACCTGTTCTCCTTATGCTGTTTTGTTTGGCACGTGTAAGAGTTTCAGCTAAGACTACATAAATAGCTATACGGTAAATCCAGTGTAACACAGTGATTCCCCGCAAGGTTACTTGTCATTGTTCAAACATTTCATCCCACTATCTCTCTTCCAAACAGCAAACCAGGTTCGTAGCTTATAACAATTTGCCTCGTTTTTTAACTTCTCCGTAAAGCTATGAAAAAGAATAGACAAGAAATTCATCCATTCGTACATTTATTTCTCCATTCCTTATGCGGCTTATTCATTGTGTATTCACTGAATCTCTGGGTCTGAATAAACCGTTAATCACAAGGCCTTAGTAAATCAGATGCATGTTCGATCACTTTAGTAGAATACGTTCCTCTGATGCTGGTGTTGGTTTCGGCGTCTCGGATTCTGGTTAAGTTCGCTCATTTAACGCATATGGCTGGATGGCACTTCTGCTTCTATGCGTACTTTAGACAAAACTTCTGTAGAGTGTGAAGGCACTTACTTGTTTGCGAAATTCTCCTCAGCAAACGGGATTAATGGATGCTCTTCGTTGCTGGGTTCTGGTGCGTGACGGATGGGAGGAGTTAATCTGGAGCTAATTGTGGTCCCTTTCGGGGATCTTGCTGCTGGTACACTTTGTACCCGCTTCCGACTGTCTGCCACGCGTTGGTAATCTGGTGAGACTGATTCACCTGACACTGTTAGGGACTTTCTACGCCGACCTATATTTAGCTGTCTGAGTTTATGGTCTGGAGTCGAATTTGCCGTCGGTCTTGTGGGGGCCACAGGAGGTTTATGTGGGAACGGTGGATTGCACTTCAAGGGGCTTTGTGGGCTTGTTAGTGTTGGTGTAGGGGTTTCCCTAGGACCGAAAGCTGCCGTCAAAAGAGGAGGGCTGCATGCATACCGGAACCCGACTTCTGGGGTGCATCTTGTCAAGCCTCCGTCGGACAACAAGGAGGATGTTCTTCCCCCAACTGCAGAAGAAAACGATACGAGTCAAATGAATCTGAGTGGAAGAAGTTAGCAGTATTGGATATAAACCGCCAGTAAACTGGGTTTGTTAAACGGGGCTGTTTGCAATTTCCGGAGTGGCTATCCTTCACAAGAGACCAATTTTATTAGATCGCTTTAGATAGTGTGCCACAATAAACCTTCTAAAGGCAGATCTGAGGTTCTTGGAAAACACAAACCTGAAAGTTCTTTACTGCTTTGATTTTTCCAAACAAAATGTGCTGCAAAACCATAATGTTCCTTGTTGGGCGGAGGAGGGTTATCGTCTTCCGATTTTTGGCTCGCATTAAGTAATCCACCCCCAGGTAATGTGAAAACGGATGATTACAACGTTCCAGTATCATTACAAAGTAATAGTCTATAGCTAAAAACATTTAGATGATAGCTGTGTGTACAGCTGACAGTGACTTTGTAAGCCAGGTATAATTGGCCAACTCATTAGCATCTATGTATTTGTATTCGGTTCATACGTCAGCTAAACATAGTCCACTGAGATTATATAATGCTAATTAGCACTTTATCCCCTAGTACAGTCCAAGTGAAATAACCAGACAAGGAAACATTGTTCTTTGCGTGCAGAACCGTTACCACTTGATGAATATTGTTCATCTTGTCCATGAAAAATTCCTTCCTACTGTAGGATCACTGTTTCCAGTGATTAGTGTAGACTGTAGACTATAGAATGCTGTAAACTGTGGATTCCGATACTATATAGTGGGAGAAAAGGCATCTTGGGATTCAGTGTGTTGGAGACACTATAACGCAGCGGTGTTTCACACAGTGAGGCTTAATAAATGTCTTATGGATGTGTTACCTGAAAGTGATATGTGTTTGTGCACACCGCGGTAAGATGCATTTGATCATCTGACAACCCCATTCCCTAATGTGTTCTTCAAAACCAAGGTCGGAAGAGAAAATGCAAATACAACTGTGATAAATACAACCTTTACATTAGCTGATCAGTATCCGAAATCACAAGACACTGATGAAAAGCACTGCAGCCATCATAGGTTCTACATCAAGTTGCCAGAAAATAACGAAAAAACAAACAAACACGTAGCGTAACCTTCTGCATGCCCGGCACCGACAGCATGAACCAAGTGAATCCTTATATGATAACTGAAGTTGGAGCAGATAACTTTTTTCAGACTTGGGTTGTTAAGGCTATACCCCAAATGGTGCGATATCCTTCCCTACCTACCACAGAGTTACAAGGGTGAAGAGGCTACTGATTTTCTACAGACAAAGATTGAACATGATTGCAGTATGTAATAATTCTACTGAACCTGAACACCAGAGCACCGCATATATCTCATTATATAAAGAGCTTCCAGCAATTTGGATTTTGGTATTACTACACCACTGCACCACCATTATTTCCTTTGTGGTTCATATGTGAGCTCAATCATCTGGGAAAAGACAATACTCGTTCAACACAAGTGAAATACTTCGATCTACAAACATGCAGATGCATCTTGATTAACCAACAGTGTCTTCTATTATCACCTGTCGAAGGTCACTGAGTTTCTGAAAATAAGCTGCGGTATATTTCTGAAAACATTTCAAGTCTATGGACATTCTGTTGCCCAGGTGCCTAATATTGAGATGCTTGTTATTTGTCACCTTCCTAAAAGCGACATGTCAGCACCCCTTGTAGTCTTTTTTCTTTCGGGTGCACTACTCTGTCCTTAAACCAACCACGAATTAGTCGAGCTTACATAAAAGCACTGTCAGAATGGACGTCCCGCCGTGGGTCATTTGGCAGTAGCAACATAGCCGTAAAAGTTTAAATCAATCACATCACCTTTGTCTACTACCGAGAATTACGTCCTTCGTTAGCTCCTTTTTTAGCGTTCCTCTGGATGGCCACTGATTAACGGTTTGATTGTATTACCAAAGGTGCGCCTCTCATCCTCAATATTGGGTATGTAAATACTACCCGCTTGCTGTAAGGTTTCAAGTTCCCTTGCATGGCGAGGTTAAAAGTTCACTGTCAATAAATTCCGCGATTTTTCCAATACCACAGTATAACGCTAAGAGCCACCGGTCAGTATCCATATTGTGCACAATTGAATGTGTTGCCAAAGTAAACATTCTTTTTCGTAATGCGATCAAGTTTTCCTCTCACTCCCAAACTTACGTGCTGTGCGCAACTCTCGCTTCTCAGCCGCTTCTTTCAGACGTTTCATCTAAAATTAGACAAAATTCGGTACATTTTTGCAACAACAACTTCAACCTGCAAAAATAACGCCAATTTAATGCAATGATAATGCAATGATCAAGATGAACAGAAATTAAATCAGTGAGACTTCACCTCGACACCTCTATGCTCATGGGTACTTCCAATGCGACGTGCGTCAGCCGATCCCCTGTGAACCTTCGTTAAGGTTGTGACTAAAGCTGGGCGTACAAGGCCTGAATTACATTAAAACTTTTCGATGCACAAGCACTTTTACACAGCAGCGTGTTTTGTCCCAAGTACTACGCCTATGCCCAGTAGCATCTGAAAAACCAGGGTACTTGGGGATGTCCTACTCATTGAAAGTGACCCTCCATATCATGTTTTTTCTAAAGAACAAATCTCTTCAGGCAAACCGCTACTTCTCGGAACATAAATGGAAGAGCTACCATTTGAAATCTGGCTCAAACGGCTTCTTTTGAAAATGAAATCTTAAATATTATTCACAATATTCAGATATAAAATACCCTCACCTCTTCTTCGTATTCTTTCACGAATGATTTAATCAGATCTGAAATTTTATCCGCCTGTAAAGAGAAGAAGGTCGTGTAACCAATCAACACTGGCAGACATGGTTCATTTACGTAGTTATTGGATTATTTATTGCATTATAGCCATGGCCCTTAATGAGTGTTTTTTCAGGTTTCTCTTTCTCCATACAACTCAACTGATTCAACGCTGACTAACCGATTAGTATGCCGCCCCCAACGTCTGGCTATATCTCTACAGTCACCGATTTTCCGGTCACAAAATCCGGCAATAGGAACTAGGCGCATGGTTTGTAGTTGTGGAAATTGACTGGGCTGTGACACAGGCAGACTTAAGCTCTGCCTTTTAACAGACACTATATTTCGTTCTAGTGATCTTGATCTTGTATACATGGCCAATCATCGCTCAGGTATATCCAAGTGTGACCTGAAACAACCATGTACATTCATCGAAGAGCTTTAGCATGTGTTTCAGATTCACCTATGGGACGCAAGCCGATGCTGACGTTGATGAACGGGTCACTTGTATTTGAGAGGCATGAAACTACGTTTCCATAATAAGCAATTTAAAATATTAACTGAGGGCTGCGTCTCGGATGTTCAGAATACGTTTTGAAACCAGGAGAGTGTGCCATACGGTATGGAACATAGCGGTTGGTACTCAGGGAGGAATGATAATCTTTCTTGAATACTACTTTTGGATTACGATGGGTGGATTCAAATTAAACGAAATACACATCTGTTTTACTCAGAGTCAAATTCCTGACACTCAAATAAGTCCACTTCGTTTCCGAAGGGTTTGGTGTGACTGGCGGATTTCGTTGGTCTTTTTCGGCTTGTGAATGCTACGACAATCTAGCTGAGTGGGCAAGGGGAGGGTGGCTGAGAATAAGTGTAATTCAGATCTATGCTACTTGTGATGATCCCTCTTTCTGATGCCGCACACCAACACGTGCCAGCCCAGCTAATCCAAAACCGTCCTTCACACGCTTGCCTTTTACTCTATTGTCACTAGGCTGCTCGGCGATTTCCACCGCTTCGGCCATCAGTCTCTGTAGCATGGATCGTAGTCCTCGCCCCGGAACCTCAACATTTTCTAAATCTATTTTGTGTTCCGTGTCCAGTGCATGCTTTGCCATTGCTGAGCGCTGAAGGAATATCTCCTGAATCAGTTCCAAACTTTTTTTCATGTTACTAAAATTATCTAAGGTCACTTTTCTCAGGCCCTATGAAATTTGTACTGAGATTGCCACAAGCTCACAGTGACTATCACTCTAAGTGTTCCTCAAAAGCCAATATCATAGTGCACAAGTCACATGCATGGATTTATTGCATTGTGACTGCTAACTTATCGCTTTTCTCATCTTTTTGGCGTGAATAAATGCTTCAAAATACGTAATTCGAATGTGGAGCTCACGTGAAAGATGTACTGGGCTGACGTCATCAAATGCACTAAGCTGTGAAGAATGAAGCACAGAATCGTTTGTAAGCTACTGTCTTGCCAGGCCAAAGTATTTCTTTAACTTCCCCCACGTATTTTAATCCGAATAATTATCATTGAAATTCGCCCTTACCAGTGTATAAAACTTTGCGTCAGCTGAATTTATAATGGGTTGTATTGACGCTAGAGAATAGTATACAATGAGGTTTTCTACACTAACAGAGTTGACAGAAACTAAAAACACTACTTGGACAATGAACTTTCCTACCTTCCGTGTTCCCTCAGACCTTACTGTTAAAAAAACCAATCACGAAGTAAGTGTAAGACACTGATTAAAGCAGTTCCAGATAAGGGCACAAACACGCCGGCTGCTAGCATGGCACTCAACAAAAAAACCTCATAATGTCATCAAAAGAAATGCCATTTTCCAGCCCATGAAAAGCTAATGTGGTTTTGTGAGCTTCAAAAATTCTGAACTGATTTACCCCTCTATTGCCAGTGAAATACTGTGCAAAAGGCCACTTGGAATATCTGCCGATGATTTGTATTTGTAAATTTTTCAGGGATTCACCTGATATTCGGGTAGCCTTTCCACGCGCGCTCACACTTTGTAGTGAGGATGGGCTCATCCTCCAAAAACACGTGGATGGTAATATTCAGATGGCAGGCTTACATTGGATTCTTAGTCTTTAATACACCAGTGTTGGAGAGTAGCTGGATGGGTTAAACAAATGATGACAAAACGTTAAACTGCCGTGTCTGGATTTAAACGATTCACTGCAAAAAGCTTAGCAAATACTACATTTCTGAGCTACTGTACAGCATCTTTGATATATTTCTTTCGTATTCAGCAACACAGGTTACTTCGTTCGTTCATTTTACACAGCAATCATAATTAACACGACTCACCATATCCGTATAGATTCGATATTCTTTTTCTGTGCTCGTCAAAATGAGCAGATTACTCAAATTCTTGAGTGATGTTTCCCTTTGAGAGGGAAATTTTAGGTGAATGGCTAAACCAGCAGTTTTTTCGTCCTGTGTTGTATCTCCCGTTCGCCATCCTAACATGGTCGCCATTCGACTTGTTTCAACCTTCTTTATCTCCCCCAGGGTCACACTGGCTTGAATATCGAAATCACGAGAATCTGAGCACTGATAGACCAAACGCACACCATGGTGGCTGAGTACCAACCAGTGACACTGAGAAGCGGAGATGGGACCGCCCAAAACCTACAAAATTTATACTGGACAGAGTTAGTTTGAATAGTACACGTTTCTCGGACACAGTTTTCCCCCACAAAGTTAATATTACAAAAATACTGATTTTCTAAGTGCAGAGGTTTATTACACTTTTTAACCAACATGTCAACCAGTCTCTTGGCCAACTTAAAATAAATGTGATATGACTAGGCGCTTTGAAACTGTATGCGGTCCAGCGACCTGGTCAGACTGACGTGTTTACCACAGTCACAGGGGCCATCTGGATCTAAAACCATACCGTCCACAAGGGAGACGACACACCCGTCCATAAGCATATTGTTTACCAGCGAAGTGTGCTTTCAATGCCGAATTATTTTGTCGACAATTATTTGTCCTTCGGCTCAAACACTCCAGAAGTCCATGCGGATTGTTTTTCACTGGATCTTAGTTGACCGAGAAGCAAGCAAATCGTGAGTAACTGTAGCTGTAGCGTCTAATTAATTTAACACTCTTCTCCAAACACGTCGTGTGCACTGGAAATTTTCGGTCGAACGGTGCATTAAAAAACTGCCTCACTTGTTACCCAGTAGGGTAAATTTTTAAGACGAATTATGGTATATTCTCCTTCTACAAGTGATTCATCTGCACTCTTCTCTCAGAGAATCCACATCTCTTGATGTCATCCGGGACGGTAACCAACCAAAGGTTTAACACATCAGATGAGTAACGTTTGGGAAGATTACTGTGCAACTTTGCGTTTTTGTGAGACGTCTTGCTGGTGAACCTGGTGAATGATATTTACACAGGTGAGTAGACATTTATGCTTCGTCTTACATGATGAAAACAAGGTTACTAATTGCTTTGTCCACATAACGCAAACGGAATAACAGACAACCTTGGAAGAGATTTCGTTCTGCATCATCACCTACCGCAAGAGCGATGTATCAGATAGACTGCCATGTTTCCTCGATAAACAGTACTCAAATCAAGCTAACATAAAATCAGGTTTGGATCCCGTCGATCCAGCTGATTAGCTGAGATGTTATTTTTTGTAACAACAATGGAAAAAATTGCTCTAAAAATAGCACACAATCACAAATGATTTGGCGACTGATACTGGAATCAATTATAAATAGAATAAAGTAGGTGTAAATTTATTTTCACCATAAAAAACTAGGAAAGTGTGGTGAGGATGCGCAGAAGTTTATATTCTAGAAAAATGTATGGATGAATCTTTGGTCAGATAATTTCTGTATTGTGCTATACCAAATTCTATTCCGAAATTACGATTACTTGATCCTATTACTACTTGACGGAAGAATTTGACGAACGTCATAAACAAAAGATTCATCTGGGTTCGAAGTGAGTCACCTGTTAAAACCGGTTTGGTATGCGAATGAATGTATAAGTCGAGTTTTGTGAATTCTGAGTGCAAGCAAAACATAAGCTTGACGGAATTCTGGAGACTGCGGCTACCTAATGAGTCCAAAGAATAGTGAAACTGGTCGTGGGATGTTGAAGAGTTTTCAGGAAGTTTATCGGTGGTCCACTACGTCTATATAGCGTTTAATGTCCTAATGCAAGGTTCTTTACTCTGAATCTGGACTCAATGTTTAGAGTGGCAAGTTTACCGTAACCAGGAGGTGAACTCACTTATATGCATACAACACTAGTTCGTTGGACCACTATAATTGGCTAAAATTAACCAGAAAGTGACACAGGACTGTTTGACTACATCCGTTCAACTGAGTCATTCTTTGGATGATATGGGATTGGCACAAACGGTGCTACGGTAAACGAGTGACTAAGCCGTCACACTAGTATGACTGTATCTAAATTTCTTTTTGAGCTACGATCACGCGCACGTGTGTGGAGATTGGTTGCATCATTCTCATTCCCTCATCATTCTCACGCCTGGAAAACTTTGCGATATTCGTTCATTCACCCCAGGTTTACTTGTCTCTCTATTCTATGGTCGCTTAGTTGGTTCACTCGATTGACGGATGTATGTATCCAGGCGCTTTATCTATACAATTTGTTGGCGCTATTTATAAGACGTTCATGATCCGGGTTTTTTAGACAGTCTATCAACCATTACGGCCATACTTGTCAATGTGGTCAGGATGTTGTCTGTCCTTTGGTTTCAAAAGGACAAATTCAATATTGCGTTCAGACACATGGACTTTCCTGTGAGTTCCGCAGGTGCTCTATCCTACCATCTCAGAGTAAACCGAACAGGACATCCGCAACCAAACATGGGTAGCCAGTAGAACTTTCTCACTTTGAATTTGACCATCGTCGACATGTATGGCTTTTCATTTGTCTTCTCTCATGCTCCGGGTGCAAAGATGAGATCAGACGGATTGTCAGTATAAACTATATCGCAAGTATGCGTTACGACTCGCCCATAGTTTCCGATGAGTATCGGATATTTTAACAAAGTGCTTAACTGTTTCAGAAATCCGAAATTCTTTATTTGTTACAAGTGTGAATTAGAATAACGTCGGGACCGTCTATGACCTTCCTCAGACCATTTTTAATGCAAATTAAGCCGCTACTTCACGGAAATCGGTATTCATAAGCTTTCTTAAACGCTGACATCCCACAACCGGCTTCATAATTCTTAGGTTTCATCAGTTCACAGTTCAACCTTAGGGCTTAGTCTAAATGTTGTTTCTTCTTACCATCCGCTGATGCATTACTGATGGGCAAAACGACATTATAACTGGGTTTTGCATTATTGGTGGCCGAACAGGATTCCAACGGCGTTTTTTGTAATCAGCAGAACCGACTGATACATAATATTATATCTTGACTTTCCGCATAGGCACAGGAAGTTCAAAACATAGCGTCACTAGAAGTGTACCGGACTTGAGGTTGGGTAAAACGTGAATGGCTGTTTGTTGGTGTTGTGTCGCGTAATCAACCAGCCGCATTAGGAATTGTGCAAACATAAAAGGAAATCTATCCACAGGGCCTGTAATCGACAATGAGTGTTACCGTCGATTCATTATGTCAACAAAGGGGTGAACGCCGTCAGTTGAAAACATCAGTCTTGCATAATACAGAATTTCGTGATATTTTTCTGTTAAGAGTCATAAACAAACCAATCCCAACCGTTTGATTCCATGAAAGCTGTATTCGATGATTTTCGATTGTCGTTACTATCGTAGTAGACTGAGTTTGCGATCGATTTTAATGAGGTCACATTAAGCTGATACTTTTGTCTTCAAAAGGTAATCGTGGTGAAATAAGTGCGACCATAACAAGTTACGGAACCCGTCTCCCAAAATAGACAATATTTAGTCGGCAGTGCAACAAACCAACATTCTATCATTACTAGGTTCTTATCGACGGCGCTTTGTTTAGCAAAAAGGTTCAAAACAGAGCTAAACTCACCACAACAGGAAAAAACCGGCCAAAATACAGAGGGAAATTGAGGGAGGCAATCACAACGTTCTTCTTTATCTCCAGTGGGGTTTGGTTTACGTATTCCACAACAGAAGAACATAATCGGTTGCCTGAATTTTTAAAGTAGGAGGGGGATATGGCAGGAAGGAAGCGGCTGTTTTATAGTAAAGAATGAGATGTGAAAACTTCGCAAGATTATGACCGAATGAAAGGCGGTGGGCACGAGTTCCCCGGAAATTACATATGAAAGCTCTATCGACTAAATTCACCGGCCCACGTGATCGCACCAGAAAAGTCGATGATCGTGCATCAGTCTGATAATTCTGCCTACCATAGTGACCGATAACGGAGGATTGCGTTGAGTGGACATTAATAAGGGGTTTAGATAATTTGTCATCCGTCTAGTGGCAACAGTCATCCCACATTTGTTTATAATTTCCTCCCCATCCGCTACATATGAATCACGTACGCCCCTGATTTCAAAAATGCCGACGACCGGTATGTTGATGTGGACTATGGACTAATTGTGCTGGGGGACAGGGAAATGTACATTGCAATGCAAAGTGAATGGAAGAAAATGAATCCGATTATTGTTCCCTTGTTGAACAGCTGCCTGTTAAGGAGGTAGGGCCTTATCCCAAATGGTGAGAAACTTTTACGAAAGAAAACTGACATTCCAAGCCGCTGACTTTCAAGTAAACTCGAAACTGCCGTCAATAGGTCAAACTCTCTATACCACGAGTCAGGCGAGGTGTACACCGCTTCTAAGCTGCTCAAAATCGATTTTTATATATCTTCATTCAAGGTCCTTTGGATTTATTGAGAGATTTCTTGAACTATGCTAATACGGAGATCTGTGTAGTCATTTTGTCCAACTTACTCTCCATTTGAAATACTTTTCAATCACCAGGCTGCATCCTTGGTGTCCAACAATTCTCGGTCTATGACCGATCCTAGAGTAAGCAAGATAGTATTCTTACATAGTTGAAGTACACATCAAAATAAAAATGAGTTTCAGTATTGTCTTGTCAATTGGATTCTAACATCTACCTAGCTTTTTCGCTGTGAACATAAGAACTGGCATCCACTCATCTGCATTTACCATTCATGCTGATGGGTGTACTTATTCTAACACAGTGCCAGCACTGGAGTACTACTGAAAACCACAGCAGACACCATCCAAGCCATATTGAATTCGAGCTGTCTGTTATACAGAACCAGGAGCAAACTGAATGTGAACCCTTTCGTGAACATATCCCAAGCCAGAAGAAATAAAACCACCTTAAAGATTGACAGAAATCAGAACGGTCTGTGTCCTTCAATTGGTAACCTTGAACACGGTAAAATATTTATTCAGGATCGCGTCGATTATCGGAGCGCAGCTGTCACCCGATAGAATACCTAAGAGCTTGTTACGTTGGCCATTAGAACGCAGACTCCATTAAACGAATACAGAGATTTCATAACGTTTTGCTGACTAAATGTGTGCAATGTTCATGGAAGTTTGTGGTACCGGACACTTATTACAGGGCTTGGATATACATTCACCTGTTTACCCTACTGGGGGGAATGCCAGTGGACCTCGATTTTATTATCAGTCCTTTTTCGCAAACTGGTCTTAAACAAAAACGATGTAGAGCTGACCTTTACTTGAAAATTCTTAAGGTATCGTCAGAAGACTTCAAAGAAGCTCTGGTTTTCGACGACGAACAGGAATTAATTGCCGCGTCAACAGGGGTAGTTGTAATGTCAATGAAAAAGTTTGTGTTCATCTGGGCCTCCCGTTACTGTCGCGTTAATTTTCAAATGGGCATTAAACACCAGAAGTGGTGTGTGTACTTCCAAGGAGTTGACGACTACGGACTTCCATATCCAAATACAAAACTGATTGAAGAATAATAAGACCATTTAAAAGGGGTTAATTTTTTTATCGAGGATGCAGAAAATTTGTAGCCCCTTCAACCCAGACAAACCGGCTTGCAGTAAATTCAACATGTTTCTTCTACCTAGTACTCACTTACCGATCATCTCCATCACTGCTTTCCTTTCGTGCTGCCGTAGCCGTTGGTTGATGGGATTGAAGAGATCCGTGATGATCTGGGCGAACACCATGTTTAAGACAATTGTTGTTCGGATGCGCTCACACGGTGTGATAAACTTGGCAGGGGAAAGGAATTGAGAATGGATAAGGATGAAACATGCCTAAAATGGAAAATATACCTTCTGGTCTTTGCACAACAGAAAATGCGCAACGACTGGTTGTTTATAAATATCCTTCGTGACGATTTTTGTGTGAATATTAGACTGTCTGTTGCGGTGTTCAGACGTTCAAACTACTCAGCACCTACTTTGCACGCCCATTATCTCTACTGTTTTTCCGCTTATCACAAATCACAAAGTGCTAACCCTCTATAGGGTGCATATATGTTTTATCTCACCGCCCGTCCAGTATCCATTGTTAATTGATTCCGATTAACTTCACGTTGCCGGTACACTCCGTTTTGCCTTATCATAACCTGTATGGTCTACATAGCTACTCAACCCTCCGTCAGTGTCATTCGTGTAGCTGATAGCCCTGTAATACCGACAAACACACATGCCACTGGGAGGTGTTATACTGTTCACGCCATGAATAATCCACGATAGCTCTAAACTTTGGGCGTTCTGAACATATTATTCGTTTGATTTTCTGCACCAGTATTGATTGCTACACCCATTCAACCATCTACTATTCGTCTGAAATCTGCTCATTTGCCCGGTGCATTACCTTCACTTAGTAAGGAAGGTTAACAATTAAAATGAAATTGCATTTTGGTCATTGACTCTTCTAAGTTAGCTGCTGACCCCATCTTTAAATGCTTTACATGTGCAAATTTATCAACAAGGGTGTGAAAAAGTACTCCCGGAACCTTACTCGCATGGTTTACAGATCCCACATACAGCCTTATTGTCCTCGATGACTTTGGAATTACTGCTCCTAACGTTGGAAACACATGAACTATGCTACTGAAATGCACAACTCTGTGTTGAGTGAAACAACCGAAGGAGATTACTGATGCTAAAGCTGCCGGCTAAAGAGCCTGTCGCTAGTCGTTTACTTTCGTCGTGATCCTTTTAAAGTGCTTCATAAGTCAGGAAGTAGTTTCCTGTTCCCTTTTAGCCTTGGAAACCATGGGATAGTAGGAAATTAAAATGCTGAGTTGTGTGGTCATGAAGTTGACCAAGTGACCAGTGACACGAACCGCTATCATCCTCGTAGTCATAGATCGTCAGAGACGGATTTAACTTCTCAGTTTGGATATTTTGAGCACATTCAAGTGTTTGGCGCTGATCCACAGGCACATATTCATAGGGCAGGATCCTTGCATCCGGCCGAAGTAAGTGAGAAGTAGGGATCGGCATGGACGACAGGGAAAATGGCAATCAGCATCTAAAGCCAAGTGTTCATTATTTGCGCCCCTAGGAATCGAAACTTGTGCCTCTCTATTGGAAGTTAGTATACCCGTAGCAGATATCTCCCTATCAGTGTTGGCCAGGTGCAGTTTTTCTGGAAGCATTCCATTCCATTTCATAACCAAATAGCCTTTGGGATAGAGCGATCTCATTTTTACGAAGATCATTGTCAATTCGAAGGACTTCCGCATGTGGGGCGACACATTAGCTTCTTGTTCTACTACGCAATTGGGTGTTTTGCTGAAACAAACGTTTACCGGACAGATAAGAGCTTACTGTCGGGGATCTTACAAAAGGAAGTCGCAGTCATAATCGAATATTACAGTGTTCCATTGATTTGTCAACTAAGCTAAGGTTTTTGTGAATTAGTGTCACTTTGTAGGGCCAGTAAAGAGCAACCTTTCAAGGAAGATCATCCACGTCAATAGAGTAAGGGTCATTGTTGCTCGTTACTTACCATTTACAAAGCACAGTCCCCTATGCAGCCGTGATTTTTTGATTATGTCGCCCGTCACGCTTAGCACTGATTGTACGTCTACTATTGAATTCAGCGGAAATTGCCCCCAGAGTCTGTATCATAATTCACTTGGTGGAAAGTCGATAGGATAACATTTCCTCATGGCTAGTTCATTGTTACTTATTTTTAAGACAGTTTCATTTGTACGTGGTGATGCGGTGGCACAACCGTTTATGGATAATAAACAGTCAGCTATCAGCCATTTTAATCCAGCACCGCGCGGGGGAACTCGGGGCGTCATCCGACTCACCCTCCGCTTTTGGTAGAACGGGCTAAAATTTTGATTGCACAACTAGTTCCTCACCGTAGTTCTGTGTTGTGAGCCCAAAGGCGCAGTAGTTTTGCATGTCGTAAATCTGATCAGTATGCCCGACGCCATACAATACCGATATGCGGACGACCAATCACGGGTGACTGACTCGCAAAGACCAGGATACTACTGTTGGGTTGAGTGCCTATTACCATGCAATATATATATATATATGCATCCAAAACCGCAGAAAGAAGACTTCATTACGGAAGGATACAAACGCCATTTAAGGACAAATGTCTTAGAAGCAGATAACTACCCAGAGAATAGTTACTATGACCTAAAAATGCAAAAGATAACATCATCCGTGTGCTTGGAAGCGCTAGTATTTTGCTCTTTGTTGCATGTGGGCTGCTTACCTCTTTGCGCACACGTATTATCCAGTCATTGTGTTCGTATGTAAAATATCTCATTCCGTGTGGCACAGCAGACGATGATTTCCTTGTACCCCCAAAATCTTGTGGGGACCCTGATTCAACTGGATCACGTGCAATCCTTCCACTTGCGGCAATTTCTTCGGGCGATCGAGACCTTGGAAGTGATCCACCTTCCATTCGCCATTGGCGTTCCTTACGATTACTTGCTCGGCGGAGACAAGAGGCGGATTTTGATACGCTATTGAAACGTTTGAGTGCCATATTTCGTACCGCCTTATTCCAGCTACTGACTGAATGCGGTGTAGCTGACCGGGTTGAAGATGTTTTAGGTCCTTCTAATGAAGGCTAAAAAACGGATACGGGTAAGAAAGCAACCTCAAGACGCAACTTATAAGAGTAGGTAATATTACTCACAAACCTCACAATTTGACGTCCAACAATCAAGCAGGTTTCTTAATTTTCTGAGTTTTGCAACACACGTGCCAACAAAAACAAACAAGGAATTGTCCACTGACAGGATCTAGTTCATAATATCAAGGTTCCAACAAGGCTTCTGCAGGTCGCCAATTGAATTTGAATCAGCAAGCTACTGGAACAACAGCTGGTTGTTTCACTTTGACCACGTCTCAACAACGCTATGGCTGAAACCACAGAATGGCGGATTATTTGGTCCAGGATTCCCACAAGGTACAGGAGTAAACTAAATATGCCTGGCGGCTACGCGTTTATTTGGATGACATTTCCTTTGACATTGCTTTGAAGTACCTATGCACTCTTAACACCATTTTGGTAAACGTCAAGTTTCAAACCGTCAGGAACCACTGTTTTAGACGTGGGATAATTTCAGTGCTCTTCACTAAGCATAAATTTACAAAACCTTACTGTAGGCAAAGAGGATTAAACTGTGATATGCCTGTTGGATATGTACAGCACTAGCGACGTAATAATGGAGAAATATTATAATGCACTTATTATGTACATTCGAAGCTTATAGCGAACAGCTAAGTATATCCTTTCTGCGGTTAGTGGAACTATGGTGACTCCCATTGGGTAATAAGAACGTTGGGGAATATTAGAGATCAACCTGTATCCCGAGGCATTATCAACATATGAAACACAACGATCAGCTGATCTTTAGGCGAAAGCGCATCAGTGGGTCTGTTCGATGAGCGGTAAATCGGAGACCCGAGGGATAGCCAGGTACTGCCCCTTGAACCATTACAATAGTAGAGTATGCGGTTAACATCAAACGCGCCACAACCTGATAAACTATGCATAGGAACACAGACAGCTTCTTCGGGTGTAAGCAGACATAGCAGTACTTTAACAGAACTTCATAGTGGTGCCATTTCATACAGACATTTTCTGAGCCGCCATGAGGGTTTGGTTGAAATAATAATAATCTCGCACGAAACACATTTGCTTGCACACTAATTCGGTTTTACGCGAGACCAAACTGAATCTAGCTTGATTACTCGTTTGCGATGTACTTCTTCAAGGTTATTTCAACTTTCCATTCAAAGGATAATCGAGATATTGTAATATGTTTTCTTGACAGAACGTGCTCCTTATAAGGTGGCTGAAGACATTTTGAAGTCCGATGACTCGCTTATTCCTCCTTGCGGCCGACTAGGTAGCCACGGTCTTAGAGTTTCTATCAAATTTATGCTCTAATTGAAACCAACTTATATACACAATTCATCGTAAATTATACAGTCAGCTGCATTAGGTCGAATTTTCCTTTAGTAATAGGTTAGTTTTCAAATGAGCTTATTACAAGTATCGCACCGGACACAAGAACATGAGGTTGACCGAAAAAGGGGAGCTAGGGGAATTCGCCTACCTGGTAAGCCTCAAGCAGGGTAAAAACATTCGCGGTCTGTCGAAGTTTTTCACCGACCTTATGTGCAGTATGTTTCATCCAGAAACATTCACTGTTTCACTTGTAATAAATCGATTGTACTTTCTATTAAGTAACTCCTAGGGAACGACAGTCTTACCTGTTAAAATTTTCATTCAGCTCAGGTTAACCTAAACTCTCTAGATTAGTGTGGAAAAAGAGAGTTTGTAGTGCGATCAATCTGCTTTAAGCTGCCCGTATATGGTGAAAAAATAAAAACGACGTCAAAAAATTTTGGAATATCCAAAATTAGAATAAAATTTAATCGAAAGACAAACTAAATGGTCTGAACAGCAAGCCGTTTGCTGATGACTCTGATACAGAGTAACTTCAGATGCCGTTTGAATCTGCGTTACTTGCAGATTCGCATTGTTATAACCATTGAAACCAGCCTCTAAAATTGATTTTGTCCTGTGTATTGAGACTAGGTGCACCTAAATTGCGGTCAGCAAAGTGATATATAATGAACTACAATAGACCGAAATGAGATTGATAAACCAGTACGCCCTAGGTATTACAAATGGAGAACCATCATTGGATGAACGTTCAATAGTTATGCCTTAAGACGTTTGCGTTGCGAAGACCGATTCTCAAACCCCATAGACCTTCTTACTACTCAAAGCATGCGTTTTCGAATGCAATTGTATTGTTTCCCACCACTTTCAGTTTATCCTGGCAGACTTACGGACTTAAAATTGTAATGTTTAACAAAAATAAGAATCTAGAAATTACAAAGCAGTTGGTGTGCATGTGGTCTTGGTAGCTATAGGATCAGGCGTTCAACCTTTCTACATCCACTCGATGGGGGGTGATAATCTGATCTATTCAGGATGTGGCTCTAGATTTACTGTTTAAAAGTGTTCTTGGTTGGCTGCAGAAAGGTCAGTTATGCATCACAGGGATAGAATTATGCAGCGTTTAGTTTTGGTTGACCCACTCACTCACCGTATCTTCCATTCCGTGGATAGCATTGGCCAACGTAGCCGGATCCAAGTTCATGCGTGGAATGCCTCGAGCGAATCCATTACTAGATGGGGGCCGCCAAGACTCCTGGACTGGGATGCTGTCGAAATTTATGAAAAAACAGCCGATGATACTTTGGCGAATGCACAGGGTAGTATCCCTAGTTGTTACGTAGCTTACGGAAAATCTGATGACGTATTTTCAAATAGAGAACACTGCAGTGAAACAGTGAAGCAGGTTAGACTATGAGGCCAGCGAATTTTGGCGGAATCCTAGATCGTTCAAATTTCGGCAAAGATAAGTTAAAAAAAACTAGTTGATAACTATGAGTAGGAAATCAAAGTAGGCCAGTGAACACAGTCATTGCGACCAGAAGTGCTGTGAAATGCTTCCGATTTTATGAACTAGAGAAGGGGAAATGAAAGGCCTGCAAGCTTAGGAAAGGAGATCAGGAGGGTACAGGACAAAGACCCCGATTATGTCGAAAACTAATAAGAGTAAAACGTCTTCAAGCGGAAGATTGTGACATAATGTAACAACGGTGTAAAAATACTTGGACTGTATAAAATAGTATTTCAAGCAATTGTGATTTGTTCACAATTACGTTACTTGTAAGCAAACACGCCTGTGCGAATAAGCCGCAGAAAAATGCAACTCACTCTCCTCTGAGTCTGAATGGAACCCCTAGAGGCAAGTGCACATTGTCCTAGTGGTTATTAATAACCAGAGAGACACCCTCCAATGAAGATGTGAATACCGGCCCATGACATCCTGTCGGAAGGTGTGCAGCTGCTTCCATCATTTTGTTATCACATCAACATAAGGCACATCTTGAACCGTTTTGCAGGTGATGTTTTTTGGAGAACAAGCAGTTAAAACATGAGACACTTTGAAAATGCTGTGTGGGTTTTAGCTTTCTGGCTATAAACTTACATACATACATACATACATACATACATACATACATACATACATACATACATACATACATACATACATACATACATACATACATACATACATACATACATACATACATACATACATACATACATACATACATACATACATACATACATACATACATACATACATACATACATACATACATACATACATACATACATACATACATACATACATACATACATACATACATACATACATACATACATACATACATACATACATACATACATACATACATACATACATACATACATACATACATACATACATACATACATACATACATACATACATACATACATACATACATACATACATACATACATACATACATACATACATACATACATACATACATACATACATACATACATACATACATACATACATACATACATACATACATACATACATACATACATACATACAGTCATCTCGGCATCTACGTGGAACGCAAAGTAAACGAAGAAGCATATTTTCCGAAGAATTAGGCGCATGCCATGGTTCAACTGTCAGGTTTCACGTTTATCTTGATGCAGTTACTTAGTGTGCCACATCTAAGTTTTATGGGTGAACTGAAGATACCACCAAAAATGAAGGGGACGGTAACATGATGAGAAGTCTGAGCCTAACAACGGTCACTCAGGCTGTACATGGGTCTTTCAAACTACGAATGCGAAGAATCCAAATAACCACCGGAATAATCAGATTTGTTCTAGTCTAGAGTGCAGCAGCTTACAAAGTAAATTCATCTATCATATTCAATGTGACTAACACCAAAGCTCATTCTCGAAGCCAAATTTCACATACCTGTCCGATTCATCTGTCACTAGATTATTCTTCACTTTACTCTCAGGGTTCGTAGGAAAAGTGGGAAAGACGTGATCCGGTAGAATGTAATTCAGATTGCACCACTCAGATGGCAGTTCAAACGAACTAAACACATCCATCACGTAGGAGTGACCTGGGACATCTAACAAATAGTCTGGTGTATAAAAGCTCACTGTCCAACCGGTGAGTGCATGCACTGATCGAGTTCTATGAGAGAAAAAGAGCAACGCGAGAGGATACGATGAGTATATGTATCATCTTTTGTTAGTATAAATCAGCACGAACAGAATGTGGTTTGTGATCATTTTCGATCGGACATACACCTGGATAGATTGATAGTCCAAGACTAATATGGGCAGACAACTATAACTTTATATATATATATATATACATATGTATGGAGTGGAGGAGGTTTTGATGCACAAGGATCGAATTCTTTTCGTTCTTTATTGGCCAGTCTAATTTAGGTTCTACCACCCTTTTTATTCACGTGTCCTGTATATGATTACTACGTCCACTGAATGACTTATACGAACTAGTGGATGCAGGTGAAACAACCCTAATAACTCCTGTTAAAATATACTATTCTGGTAGGCCAACACATCTGGAAAATGATCACATAATCGTTGCCAGCGATAACAGTTTTGAAGCTTGGTGTTCGAGTGCCTTACAGCTGTGAAACACTGCGAGAAACCATACTGTGACCAGAAAAAATTTTTTTCTCGCACAGTGACGTCCAGCTATTCAAAACGCATTGGTAAGAATTACTAAACCGAACCGTTGGATCCGGGCGGCCTTAAAATGAAAAGTTAAAGTTGACTTGGCAGGAACAAACGCCATAGCTGGGGGCTGACTTGATTGAGCGAAATCCCGCTTACCGCACGGAGTGCCATTGAGCGAAATCCCGCTTACCGCACGGAGGTCGATCCAGATATTTCAACAAAACCTACCCACTGACAATTCGGACCAGATATTTCTGGGTATCTCTACGGTAGAAACGTCTGACTTGTTGTGGGTCACAGAAGTAGTTTATGTCTGACAATGACGAATACAAAAAGTTAAAACAATGTGTTTAACGAACCAGTTGTGATTCTGGTGCATAGGTGTGATGGAGAGAAAACGTGATTTTTAGTACATTGGGTGGATTAAATATCCTTCAGGAAGTCGGCGGCTAGGGGTTGACCCATGTGTATCCTCATAGGCAAGCTACATGTACTTGGGTTTTTAACTCAGAAGAATCGTTATTTCGTATCGGGATGTTTTCACAGGAAATATAGATTAACGTTCTGTCTGAAATGCTCTCTTTAGATAACTGTTTGTCTAGAAAGGAATTTCGACTTTCTTTTCATTCTCACGTTACTCCTCAATTTCATGCCTCTTATTACTGTTGGTTAAACTTCCGTCTCCACTTGTCTCCACGAAGAGGCTGGCAAAAGTGTGGAGTGACTGAGCATTCTTTTTTGAGTATAGTAATTGATTATTAATTTCCGAATTTCGCTAACTGATCGTGGCTTCGAGCACTAACCAAACAAGTGGCGGCGAATGAAATACACTAAATGGACATTTGTGAGAGCGGAACAGTTTTCAGAAGCAGGCAGTCGACGCAACGATAACAATGAAGTGATGTGGACACAGAAAAGAAAACTGTTACTACAGGTAGAAGAATGAGTTTACTTTTCACCGCACATCGGTCAAATGTGATACATATATATCCATGTCTATGTTTAACAAGAAACAAAACTGATCAATTCTGTCTGATTAGTGTAGAGTCACCACCAGACGATACGCGGACAGGATTCTCCAAGTTGCCTGGATTGCCGAAGGAACGTGCGTGAATATTAGTGTGCTGACTGTTCACCGGAAACTCTAAAATCCTCTCCGCTCAAACAGACAACTATGTGTGAATTGTTACGAGAATATATATATATATATATATATATATATATATATCTTTACAAAACCAGTGACCTCGCAG